CAAACTTCAAGTTTGAGTCGTAAAAAACGACCCATATTTTGGGTCGAAGTCGAAAAAAACGACCCAAATTTTTAGTCGGAGTCGTAAAAACGACCCAAATTTTTAGTCGGAGTTGTAAAAAACGACCCATATTTTGGGTCGAGGTCGTTTTTTTCGGCTTGGACTTGGGTCGGAGTCGAAAAAAACGACCCATATTTTGGGTCGAAGTCGTTTTTTTCGGCTTAAACTCGGGTCGAAGTCGTAAAAAACGACCAAAACTTTGAGTTAGAGTCGAAAAAAACGACCCAAAATTTGGGTGAGCTCTGTTCGAGCCGACTCGGCTAAGCCGATTAACAACACTAGATGCCAGACATATGACGTACTTGCAAATAAAATTATTGACATCCACAAGTTTTAGGATTCATAATAAAGTTTGCAAGATGGTTACTGATAATTGGTCTAACTACCTGAAGGCATTTAGGTTATATCACAAATTTATTTAAATATTTATTTTAAGTTATGATTTTTTGGGCAGTAAATTAATCATAATGGAATGGTTATTATTTAATCTATTAAATATTTAGTATTTTAATATTTCACGTTATTTATAGAATTTTTATTAACTAAATACACACATATTTTGGTAATATTATGATTATCATAATTTATATCAAATTATAAATAAAATTAGTGAAATTAACTAATAAAATATAAAACAGAGGTGGATTATTTCATTAATTTTTATTGTACAGTGTCATTGAGCTAATCTAACATTTAATAAGAAATGGTTATTGAATATTTCATGGATGATTAAATTTTTACTATATTTATTTCTTATTGATTAATTGCCATCAGTACAGGGAATTCATTCAATGTATTCATTTGATAAAATATTTTTGCTTAGTTACATTATAATTCCTGATGTTCAAAATTTAGAATACTAAGAATTGATTTTTCCACTCCATTTTTGATAAATATTACTAGACATTTACTGATGAATAATTTAATTTGTCCTATTTAATATGAATATAGAATATTTGGTGAGGATAATGCTGAAGATGAGATACAGAATGAAAGTCAACATGTATTGGAAGAGGAGGAAATAGGTGTTGATGCCAATGATATTAATGAGATCTTAGAAGAAGGTTTAAATTATTTTATAATACATGTTAATCTAATCAATATTCTATAGGATCTTCAACTAACTCCACAATGTTACCCAGCCATAGAGATGCTCCTGTCATAATTTAAATTTGATAGTAACAGTAGATGCTGAAGGAGCTTTAAATGATGAAGATGTTAAAAGGGTATCAAGAACGACATTTTATAAATGTCAAACTTTATGGAATAAGCAGAACAAATCTCCTAAAAGTTCTGAAATGTTTAAAAAAAAATTAGGGAGGTATTTATTAACCCCTAATCGTACAAGATGGAATTCTGTATACCAAGCAATAAAACTAATCGCTTTTTTTCTGGAGGAAAGAAGATTAGAGATTAATTATCTCTGTGATCTTGTTGAAATTGAATGTATTAACGATGAAGAGCATATTTTATAAAAGAGTATACAGAAGTAATTCTAATTAATAATGATTCATTTCCATATCATTTTAATTTTTTAGGTTATGCAATATGTTGCTGTTTCCCTTGAAATTTTGGAAGGTGAGGATAATATGGAGATGGGGTATTATGTTCCCACTTTAAGTATCCTAAATACCAAATTAAAGAGATTGAATAATCTAATCTTATGCCAGCCCCTAGTAGACTCTCTGTTAAAAGGCATTGAGAGAAGGTAAATAAAATTTATATTGTTTTGATTTTGACTGAAGATTTATTCTAACTTAATGTTTAAAGCTAAAAAATTTATAAAATTTTACTAAACTGGTCATAAAAAAAATTTGTTTCATTTGTTTCTAAATTTTTTTTTTAAAAAGTAGCTTAAAAGTAGCGGCTACTTTTTTTGACAAATAGCTATAGCGGTAGCGCGCTACTTTTAAAAATAGCGTTTAACAACTCTGATAAAAATAAATATCAATGATTAATTTTAATATGAACAATATTTTACCTTTTTTTACTTAAATTTTTTTTATTTAGCTGCACAATTAATATATTTTCAAAATTCGTCTCACTCAAATTACATCTATAAGGAGATAGTATAAATTTAATTGTTAAAAAACATCTTTCCATACTAACTTGGGTAGCCGGCACTGCCAATATGATATCAGATTTGATGTGTCATTTATAATAATATTTTGGATTTAATTTTTCAATTTATAAGCTTTAAATATTTTATAAAAATGTTGTAAAATGACAATATACTAAAGTTCATAAAAATTATGACCGACACTTATCAATCAAAAGTTATTGATGCTAATCTTTAAAATAATTTGAAGGTAATTGAAATTTTTTCAATATACTAATAATAATTAGTTTTATAAGCATAAAATCATGATGCTCGAACCGGTTCAGAGAAATTTTAGCATTTCGGTTCAAGTTCGGCTAGAATATTTTTTAGCGTTTTAGGTTCGGTTCAGGTTCGATAAAAAATACCGGTTTTTAGCGGTTTAAAGGTTCGGTTTGGATCCCTGCCCTCACCATAACATACGTGGATCTTTAAGTTTTACCGACTTACTTTAAGTAATTTTTTTTAAATATTTTTTATAGATAGTATATATTTTAGATATGTGATTAAAAAAAGTGTATATCCATTAACATTTTTTATATTTTTTTAAAATAGAAAAATAAAATCATGAATAAATTTGAAAGAAATAAAAATTTCTTCAACCAATTTATATTATAAATAATGTAATTATAAATTTATTATAGAATCAGTTAAAACTTAAAATTTTATTTTTATTGGGTTATTAATGTTTATTTTTATTGGCTTATTAAGCTCTTATTTTATTGGTTTATAGTTATTTATATTATTTAATTTTAAAATCAACCATTTTTTATTTTAATTAAAAAAATCGTAGCAAAATGATTACAACAGGACATAATAGTACATCTGCCAAAGGCACCAAAATATAGGAGACGGTAATTAAGAAGATGTTTAATTTTTATAGATATTATTACAGAATAAATCACCACAAGATTTCATGTTTGAGCTTACCTCTGGTTATCAGAAAATAATTTTTAAGTCTCAACTGACCCATAATCTGCATTTCACATGTTGATTTTAATAACGAAATGATTGCAACAAGACATAATAGTATATCTGCCAAAGGCCCCAGCATATAAGAGACAGTAATTAAACAGATGTTTAATTATTTTCTTTATTAACTAAGCAAACTTTATTTATTTATTGAGATTCTTTAGATACAGAATATTTAAAAATGTAAGTAGATATTGATAAATTGGTATTGTATGATATTTCCAGAGTTCAAATATTGTTTGAGATAAGATTTTTATACTGGCATATTTTGGGGTGGTAATATGAGATTAATGTTTATTTTTCAATTGGCTAAATATAATTTAAATTTTTTGTTAAATCTAATTTATAAGTACTTAGGATTAGTGAAGAAGGTTTATTTTCTGGCATGGGAAGATAATGATAAATAGGTATTTTAAACTATTTGCAAAGTTCCCATATTGTGGTAGAGATAAAAAAAAATTTTTACTACCATATTTTGCGATGGTGAACGTATATTTTTCATAAATCTTTATGTAAGGAGTTAATGTTTTACAGTGACATGCTTGATCAGGTTATCCAGGCTATTGCCGATACCTCAATTACTACCAGATTTTTCTATATAGATCCTCCTGGTGGATCAGGTAAGACGACATATCTTTATAATACTCTACTACACTATCTTAGAGGACAACAAAAAAATGTCATACCCTTTGCTAACACATATCCTCCATACTTCTAACCTGTGTAGATTGTCCTGGGTTCAATTGCAACGATTTTAATCTTCCATCTCCTGACCCTATCACTCAATCTAATTTATATGACCCAATAATAGAAGCAGATGTCGCAATGATAATGTTAGCCAATCTAAATGTTTTACAGCGACATTTGATCAGGTTATCCAGGCTATTAACGATACCTCAATTACTACCAGCTATTTTTATATAGATAATGGGAAAAAGAAATACTTTCAATCTCCTTATTTAATGGAATTTACTTCCAAATTTTAGAAAATTCACTGAATGTTCTCAAAAAAAATTTTCCTGTAATAGTTCATGATTTTTTTATTCCCGTCATTCTTTATGGGTTATCAACTAGTTATATATATTCTATTAAAAATAAATCATTATTATCACGTAGAATTACATTTACCTAAAATTTAAGTTTTAAAATAATATATTTATTCTATATTAATTTCTTTTAAACCATTTTATATTAAAAATAATGTAACTATAAATTGTTAAATAAGATAATAATATAAATATTTTATAGAATCAAGTTAAACTTAAATATAATAAATAAAGAATACAAGTTGGAAATGTAATTAAATCCAGATAATTTGAATTGATAATATCTTCCAATATTTATTTGAATTTTTCGTTGTCTTAAATAATCTGGGTTGAGGCAAAATTGTATTTTTGGAATATTTTTTAATAATGTTAGCAGATTTTTTTAAAAAATACTTTGATACTCTTTAAGCCTACGATTGATGACCCAAGAATACATTTAATTATGCACTAGGAAGAAAAAAATTATATATTGGAATAGATTTCTCATTTTTTGAAATTTATTTTTAATTAAGGACACCTATTTCAAGGGATTTCTCTGGATAAGACCTAAGTATGGGTTTAAATCAAGATTGATAAATTTGTAATTTAAAATTCTTACGGGTCTTATATAAAATGTGATAAAGTTCTTACTACATAATCCAGCCTTTTAAGAAATTCACAATATTAAAAAATCTCATAAATTTATTATGAGATGTTGCAGATCTAGCAAAAACTTAAATCAATATTTTCATTTAATTTCTAATAATATTTATTTCAACAAATATTATAAATAACAGTTTAACAAATATATAATATGCTAAATGAACTCTTTTAGTTATGAAAATGGGCTCTAATATCATCCAGACTTGCATATACATTGTACATATATAAATAATTAAATATCAACAATGCTTAATTTAAGATAATGTTTGAATGATAAATTTCTTTTAATAATTATAATTTGGTGGAGTCCATAAGATGATAGGGTATGGAATGAATACGATCTTGAAAATTAGCCACCTTTGTATGAATTTTATCCTTTTGCGTAGCAGCGAATATGCAAAATACCTTATTTGAATTTTTTTTTGGTTATTAGAATCTGAAGATTTATTACGTGTTAACATAAATTAAAATTTAGGGTACATTTTAATTTTAAAGAGATAAGTTCTTAAATCAACGAAATCATATTACTATAAATTGAATGCGGGAGAAATAATCTTAACTAGGCCTATTATAGACACTTCAATTATATTTATAATACCAAAGCAACAAATTTTATTTTTAAATCATAAAAATATTTTAGTTCTAAACTTGTTCAAGTGTGGATTGAGTGATGGAATAATCTTGAATATGGTATTTGTCTCTCACGGCTTCCAAAGCGTCAAATATCAGAGATAATTTCAAATCATTCTGAGGAAAATGAATCTACGGGAGTGTTTTGTAAATTTAAAAAGGAACACTTATTCGAAATTATACAAAGATAATATTTAAAGCTATTGGCACATCTAGCTTTTTGCAAACTTGAGGGGATTCACATTAAAAAAAAAATTTCAAATATCGAGGCTTGCGTAATATTATTTTGGCTAAAATCTTAATTTAAAATAGAATAAATTGAACCGTTTAACATAATTCTATTTAAAATTTGCAAAATTAAATAAAATCCTTATGTAAATTAAAGATATTTTAATTGTGAACAGAGTTGTTAAAGTAGCATGTTAGCCAGATACCTTTTTGGTAGCGATTGCTAATAGCGCGCTACTTTTTTTGCCAAATAGAAAATATAAACATGAAAATTTAAATATGAATTTATCATTAATAATAAATTTAAAAAATGTTTATGCAAATGGATATCGAAATCGATGTAAGTGAGTCAAATGATAATATTAATGAAGTGGAAGATGCACTGGAATGAAATTCTTAATAACAATAATACCAATTAACCTTTTCCAAAATTTGAAATGTATTTTCAAATTAAATGGTAAACAAAAGTTAGCTACATATTTATCTATTTAAAATGTCGAAAAATTATATCCTCAAAATAAATCTAGCAGCTATAACCTCAAAAAACATCTAAGGTTAATATTTATTTTTATTTTTTTAGAATATGACAAAATTTTCAAAAAGGTAGAAAAAAAATATCTTAATAATTTTGGTTTAGGGTGACAACATCCAAAAAAGACTAATTAAATTCAAACTATTGATTAAAACTAGTGCACTTTCAAATAATTCACAGAAACTTGCTGATAAAGTCATATATAAAGCATTTTGACTGAATTTGTTCAACTTAAAAGCCAAATATTTATTAAATTTTAATGATTAAGATACATTTTAAATATACTAATATTTTTTAACTAATTAGATTCTCCTACCTATACAACGATGATATCTGTTAGCTGCCATTATTCATCCCAATTCTAAATTTAAGATCACCGTGATAGGCTCTTGATAAAACTAAATAATCTATACCGCATTGGTTAGAACCCAAAAATAACTTATAGAGATAATTTTTAAATAAAATATTCTAATCTAATTGAAAGTCCACTGATGCATTTTTAATCACAAAATACTCAAAAGAATATTTTTGTTAATTATTTTTATTTTAAAAATTTATGTATAAAATTGTATATATTCAATTATCCACAAGTGCTAGTCTTGAGCGATTATTTAATGAGGCAAACTTATACTTAATGGTCGCAGGTCTAGACTTGGGGATAATATGGAAATGATTTTATTATTAAAATTAACAAAATAAATATAGAATTATTTTGATTATATTAATTTATCTTTTTATATAAATTTAATCAATAAAACGATATTTATAAATATATATATTTATAAATGCTACTTTTTGTATAGAAAATTACATTATAACTGTTAAATATATTTCATATTTTATTTTAATCTAGTTTAGCATAAATACACTTCAATTAAATATAGTTTTTTTTATAACCCCCTTTTGTTTTGTCTTAAATACATAAAAATTAAATAAAGTTTATTAGGTCTCTCTTGTTTGAGTTAAGCAAATTAAAGTAAAACATATGGTTTTTGTGTTTTCATTAATCAGGGGTTTTTCATACTATTGGAGTCAACAAATATAAGTTAGATATTTAGTTCTCAAAGATCGCTCTGACTCAGAGGTATCATTTGAGTTTCGAAAAGTATGGGGGGTAGGTTTTATCCCCACTTATGTAAGATAAATCAAACAACGCAAAAACATTATTTTTTTCATTTTGAGCCAATTTTATTTTATAATTACATTTTATTTTCCCTATTAAAGGGCCTGTTTTTATGTTTAAAAGATATACTTTTTTTTTAGTTTAAAATATTATTTTCAATAAGATAATTTTGATTTATAATTTTGATAAAATAATTTTAGGTTTATAAATTTTTTATAATTAATTTTTTGTTTAACCTAATAAAATTTAAAATAAAGATATACGTGTCATTTATTTAAACAAATGTTTTGGCATATAGCGATAGCGCGTTATTTTTAAAGTAAGGTTTAACAACTTTGTGTGTGAGGCTCCTCTTACCTACCCTAAGTTACTGCGTAAAACCAAGGATCCAAATCTTAACATATCGGTTTCAGATAAAAATAAGGGTTCAGTTTAAAAAAAATTATTATATTGTATAGATAAATTTTTTTTTAAATTTTATCGGCATAAAATATATGAAACAACTGGTTTATTTTATTTTTATTGCACATATAAATAAAAATTTGTAAATTATAACAAATAAACATTGTTTATTAACTATAAACATAAATAATTAAAATACTATTGTATTGAGCTGGAAGAAAAATAATTTCAAGATTCTTTTCTAAATTTACAAGGGGAAAATATAATTAGTATAGTAGAGGAACATCTCTACGCTAACTTTCAGCTGGCATCGTCAAATAGCAATATGAAAAATATCTAAAACTAGCGGTAGAAACTTACATACCAAAAGTTTCAAACACATATCATTTTAAAGTTAAACTTCGGGTGATTAATTTGTAACGACTCCTTTAAGGGTTCAACAGGTTCGGTAACAATTTTTTTAAGTGACCATAAGAGAATGATATGTATTTTAGACAGTTGATAAATAAAGTGTAGTAAATTAACATAGTGGTACCAAAATACGGCTTTCATGTTTTTCTTTGATATTGCAAGTCGGAAAAATAGATTTTAAGTGATTAATCAATAAGTCGATATATGACGTGACATAGTAAGGAGACAAAGCTTCCAATTTCAACTTTATCGTGACAAAATAACCTTCCCCATATCTATATTAATAAAATAAATAAATTTTTTAGTTTAATTAAAGTGCTGGTCTGATCAGATCTAAAAATGTTCTATAATCAATTAACTTTATGTATTATATCTCCCCAATTATCATCAATTAGACTTATATATCAAGATCTTTCAGGAAAAAAATTGAATAAATAATTTAATTAACTCAAATTAATGTGGTTCTGCATGTTAAATAAAAAGTTGTTACTTGCTTTTCAGATGCTGTAGACTTCCTATACATTTTATTTTACCGTTTACCATAATGGCTACCTTAGAACACAATACCTCGCATTCCTCCATACTATGAGAAGTGAATAGAATGCATTTATCATTTATAATTAAGTCTAAAATACAGTTCCAAAGGAAACGGCGAGCTGTGGGATCCATACCTGTTAATAAAGTGTAATTTCTAAATGAATTAATTTAATTTATTTATGAATATTTTATTAATAATTTAAAATATCATTGTTATGTGGAATAGAATAAATTACATATATAAATTATATTTATTGCATTTTAATGATTTTAATATGCTTGTTAAATTTATTTATTTTCGCTCAATTATTATTAATTGGAAATCAAATTTTATACCATATATTTTATACTACATTTATATCAAATTTTCAAAGACTATTATATTTTTAACTTATTACATTTCATTTTACTCAGATGGCTAAGACAAAATATGATAAGGAATGGGAAGAAAAGTATATTATATTATTAAATAATTTTTATTCACCTTGCCTATTAAATATCTTCACTTAAAAAAATATATATAGCCATACAAAAAAATTGAAAAACAAAAAGAAATACAAAATCATGGTATCTAATTATAACAGAAATCATTTGTGTGGTAAATTTCTTTATTTTTATAAAATGCTAATTTTTATTTATTTAAAAAAATGATAAAACACTAAAATATTAAAACAAGTATATAAAAATATGTAAAATTACTAAATAAAAATAAATATATATATATATTATAAGTATCGAAGGCTCTAAAAAGAGCTTAATTTAATAATGAATATGTACCTAAAAAACAAGTATAATTGTGTTTAAAAATTTCTAGTTGAAGTTTTTGCTTAAGAAATAAGGATTCACGATTTTCGTTTGTTATGTTAAAAAATTTTCGTGATAAAGTTTTTTAAAAAAATATGTAGACTGTGAAAAATTGCCGTTAATTGATATGACTATTGGCTGCAATATAAAGTTATTTAATTTTGAATATTTATTAATTTTTTTTATTTTCCCCACAAGTAAGAGGGTTTGAATTAATTGACGAAGGAAAGGAGGAGACGCAGGTTACGTCCCAAATAAGGGATTTCCCATTGGACCAGGGGGTGCAGGTTAAACCGTCAGGTATGAGGCCATCCTGTAATTAGAGACTGGTTTGTTCAAGGATGTTGGGTATTATTAAAAGCGTTATGGATGATTTTATTAATTGCTTTATGCCGGAGATGGCCACCTTGGCTGCGGGTGCAGTTTAGGCCGTGTCTGGCGTTAGGTTGAACGGGTAAGCTGCATTGGTGGCAAGAGTGTGACTGTGTAAGCAAACATCCAAGTCTAAATCCTATAGTAACTCTCAGTTGGTCATTGGTTAAGATCTAAGGTCTAGCTTGGAAGTGCTTCGAGCCATTCATGCCCTCCGTATTTATCGTTGAATTGTAATAGTTGTATATCCCTAATATTGGTAGGGTTAAGACTATTTTGTATTTCTTTATTAGGGTTCGATGATAGATTTGCTAGAGATTTCGGTTGAAAATGTATAACCGTCTGGGGTAAGTAGATTCCATCTTTCAATTGCTGCTGTTAGAAGATCATCTTTGGGAGTTATGATTGATGAGATCACAGAATTGAGCGATTGGGAATTTGAGATAAATAGAGATAGGGAAAGTAGTTTTAAGGGGATCAAGTCGATACCACCTAGTTTAGCGGGTAATTGGGCTAGGGGCCAATCAAAGTCTGATAATGAAAGGTTGAGGATCCTTTCTATAAAGGTCTTTAAGCGAATATTGTGTTGAATGAAAAATTTTGAGGACGTGAATGAGGAGGATGAGTGGAAGAGATGCGAAATAAAAAAGCTGGTGCGATGGAATGTGGTTGATAAACTTTTCCAAGTTTTGCAACTCAGAAAAAGTTTTATCGATAATTTTTTCGGATATATTATTATTGATTTATTTTTTATTTAGCAATTTTACATATTTTTATATACTTGTTTAATATTTTATGGTAAATTAAAATATCAAACCTGTAGTTGGCTCGTCAAGTAATATGATGGGGGGATTTCCAACTAAAGCCACAGCTGTTGAAAGTTTTCTTTTGGTACCCTCTGATAAGTTTTTGATCAGTTTCTTTTCGTTACCCACTAAATCGAGATTAGTTATACTCCAATCCACAACCTATATATTTTATAAGATATTTGGGTTATCAAATTAAAATATATATTGTGATGTTAAAGTTTAAACTAATTTAACCCTTGAGTGGTAAGGTAAAAAAAGTAACGGGGTGATGCAGTAGGATATAAACTCATTAAATTATAATGCTCATTCATTATGTAACCATAAATAAATTCGGTTTATATCTTAATTTAATAATACATGAATAAAATTGGTCGAAATATAGTTTAGTTTTTAGCATAAAATAGGAGACTTATAGAATAGGTAAAAATATCGAAATCTCCTTAAGAATAATTTAAAATCTCTAATGGTTTATAAAAATGTAAATTAAATTTTGTATTTAATATAGAAATATTTTTCCAAAAATTATAAAATCATAATTTCTTTTACATGTTTCAAATTTGTCAGGAGATATACATTTTTATAGAGGAATAATTTTTTTTATTTCTTATATTACAAAATTAGATTAAAAATACTATTAAAAATCTGAAATAATTAATTTAAATAGAAGACTTACTAATTATGTAAATAAATCTATACGCGATCAATATAATTATACAAATGTCATATAAATGCTTGTAATATAATTGGAACGTTATCATTAAATAATATATTAACTGATTGGACATCTTCTTTACAGATGCCTTTTATCAATGCATAGAATTGCAAGATTTCGGTGGTTGTCATCAATTGGTCCAACGAGTCATCTTGTGAGCAATATCCCATAAATTGTCTTGCTACCCCTCTTTTCTTTGTTATGCTTACGCCATGAACAGATATGTCTCCTAGAGTGATTGACGTTTCAGCTGTAACCATTTTAAATGTCGTTGTTTTTCCTATTCCATTTTTTTCGTCATGATTTAAAAACGAATATTTATATTATTTTTTTGTATAGATTCTTTTATTAAATTTTTAAAATGAGCACAATATATAAAAAATATTGAAATATTTGTAAAAAAAATCATGTAAACGATTTAAAACAAGACGAATATAAAAACTATAAAAAAAACATAAGAATGGGGAGGGGAGCAAAAAGAGGCTCTCAATGAGATCTGAAGAAACTAAGATAGTTGACTCGGAACATGGCAATCTGAGTTGGTTGTAACATTTTAAAAGGAAACCCATGATCGCCAATAATCTTAGAATTTTTGTTACCTAAAATCATAAAAAAATGAGAGCACAGGGGGTATAGGGACCAGAGATCTTTATGGGCCAAGTCGACCTGTGCCATTATTAAATTTAAAGTTCGCTTATTTAAAACGGTTGCTAACTTAAAGAAATATTGCCTTTTCTTTCTCTTAATGATAATAAATTTCAGTATTGTAAACAAAATGATTGCCTAAATACATTTAAATAATGTTTATTTTTAATAAATACAATAAATTAAATTTTTGGATATGGGTTTGGGTCGGACTTGAATTTTTTTAATAATAGATATAGGTCGGGCCTGCTAAAAATTTTTTACTGCGAGCCTGGGCCGAGTTTGGTCAAGAGGACCCATGGTAGAAATAGCTATTGGGATAAAATGAAAATCAGAAAAGTCATGGTGGCTTCTAATTTTTGACCTTCAGCTGTATTAATCAGATCAATTTTTAAGTCAAAGGAAAATTGGGTACAGGTAAAATCCCAAGTGCAGTGTTTTTCTCCCTAAACTAAGGAATGTTGTTCAAGCCTATCTGGCCTCTTCCCATTAGACAGGGATAAGTGTACGCCATGAGGCTTGGATATTAGGCCAGCTCTAATTTGTTCGAGATTATAGAGGAGTTAATAGCTGTTTGACGTCTGAACCGTCCTTTAGAATATAAACAGATTAGACCATGTGGGCCTGGTCGATCGAAGTCTTCAGCACCGTTACATTTATGGGGTATACATAAGACACAGCCAAGTACCATAGTCATCATCAGCTCCTTTAGCAAAAGACCAAGATTGCCACTAAGGACAGTTTCAAGCTATTCATGGCCAGAGTTTTTCCCGAGCATATGAGGATAGTCAATTTTTAGGCTTAGACTAATTAGGTTCAGCGATTTTTAGGGTACCTCATTAGGTTTAGCCAATTTTAGGCTAAGCTTAATAGGGCTTAGGTTTAGTTTTTAGCCCATTATGCAACATAAATTAACATCTAATGACAGTAAATTTTTATTCCAATTTTCTAAATCATGCACATGATTGTTATAATGTAAAATTACATTACCAAGTTATATATTTATTATACGATTAAAATATAATTTGATTATTTTAAAAAATTTAAATAAACTAGGTTTTATGTTTTATTAGTTATGGCATCTTAATAAAAAATATTAATAAACTTAAAATGAGATTAATTAAACAAATATTTCTCTTTTTACAATTAATCTAACTTAAAAATAAATAAATTACTAAATATTTATATTTTCCTAATACATTCTATATTTATTTATTATATTATTGTCTTACTTTCGCTTTGTTCTAATTTAATTATATTAAATAATTTTAATTCAACCATTATTAACAAAATTTATAAGCTCAGAAAGATTTAACTAATGAGAATGTAGCCTGCCTACTTATCCTTTAAAAAATTAAAAATAAGAATATTTACGATTTATTCAAAATATTACATTTTGAAATTTTATTTGTGGTCTAAAATTTGAAACAATAACGAATAAAAAATAATTTTTTGTTCTTCGACCACTATCATTTTCTCCAAAAATGGCGAAAAACTTCCGCATATTAAAAATTAGAGGGAAAAGAAAATATTAAGAATAAGAAATTAAAATTATAAATATAATGTTAAAGCTTCATACCGCTTTTAAATATTTGCTAAACATTTGAATATTATATAACTTATTTCAGCCCTAAAACTAGTTCGATTTTAATCGGATCCTTTTAATATGAAATATATAATAATATATTCGACCTGCTCCGTTAACACCTAATAATCCAAAACACTCCCCCTTTTCTGCAATAAATGCCACCCCATGCACGGCCAAAATTTTGTTATCGTAAACTTTGGATACATTTCGAATAATCAAGGGTGTTTTTGAGGAGTCACATTTATCCACCTTGTTTCTTTCCTGCGCTACGTTATCGTCTTCTGGTTCTTCGTTTGTTATTATTTCTTTAGAAGGAATTTTATTTTTTTCATTATTGCCTGTGTGAGACATTTTATCTTTAGTATTGATCGGTGTAGGGGCAGGTGATTTCAGATTCTTCAGAAATTTTCTATCATTCCGTGACTTGATAGGGGTCCACAGGTACTTATCAAAAACACCGTATTCCAACAAAAGGGTGAGCCCAAAGCATGCTATGCCCAGAATTAAAAAGCTCGCCAGGTTTCGCCCGATATGATTCCACTCATAATGAGACGGCAGTTCGGGGGTACCTCCAAATCTTATATAAAACATGTAGAAAATTAAACTAAGGAAATAAATAATTTTTTGAGATTGGTTTGATACAAAATTTTAATCGAACCATATTGGACTTAATTTATCATATTGATTGATATATTTATTATATATTAAACCTATTCGCCGTGTCTTTTATAATGTTTTTAATGGCTATATTTAGCAATCCTCGGCCCAACCCATATTGAGGAAAGATCAAAAAGATGTTCTTAAGTATGTTGTTAATATTCTCAACTTCCTCAACACCAATCATTTCCAAAATGAATGTTATGATGGTGCAAACAGCTCCCACTAGCAAATTTACGCTGGCCATGATGACGAAGCCTGATCCAGGTTTCTGAAATATCCATGTCAAAGGATACATGTATGGTATAATTGCCCATCTTGATTGTTTAGGAGTGATTATTTATTTTTTAAAAAAATAACATTATTATATCATTATAGGTGAAAAGTCAACCAAAAAGGCCTACTGCCTTATTTTATTTTGCAAAAAGTTTTTATAGCGTTCTGAAGAAATTCTATATACATCAAAAATGGGCATAGCTATAGATAAGATATAGTTGACTACAAGCCACTTAAAATATGTAGCTTAATTCTTTACAAGATATCAAATAAATGTAGCTTAGCTACAGCCATAAACAATTTTTTATTAAATATATATATATAAATCTTTTAAATTTTAGATACATCCTATCACATCATTATTTACCAAACAAAAAACGAATAATCATTAACTAAAATAAATCAAACAGTATGATACATATAATTGCCAATATGAAATTCCCGGGATTTTCAAAGTCAAAATTATCGCCCTTGGAAAATCAGGAATTATGGGACATTTTAAGGAACATTGTAAAAATTTCCTATCAAAAAAGTTTGACAATTTTTAGCCTAAAATGAGTCATGCTTGACTTTAAGAAATTAGATATACTAGAGTAAAACCAAAATTTGTCAAACTGCATTATATTAATTCTTAAACTTTTATTTATTACTTGAAGTTAAAATTATAATCGAAATATATATGAAATTAATTAATCTGAGAATAGGGAGGTCAACTCATGCTCTTCTTCCATAATGATATCAGTATCTGCTGATGATAAATTTATATTTTCAAATAATATATGTATTGTAAATTGTATATTTCCACATGTTCATTGCCATATCTATTACGATTTTTGGAAGGTTTCTCCAAAATAAAACGGAATTTTCTCAGAAGAAGCATTCGTTGGAGAAATAGATATGATAATTTTTTTAAGTATTCAATGTATTTTGAAACCCGGAAATTTTTATGGAAATTTTTAATATCTTGCACATTAATACTTAAAAATTATAAATACCTTTTATGTTTTTATTATTTGAATACGTTTTTCTTATTTACACAATAAATGATAAAAATCATTTAAGAAATTTAAAAATACAAAAAAAAAGAGATAACATAATTTTTATAACTATAATTATCACTTAAATATTTAAAAAATATAAAAGAACTGAAGCTAAAATCCCCTAAATTAACTCCCCTTTCTCCATAATTACTGGCATTTTTAGTTTTGCAGATATGAGTGATCATGTCTGAACTGTCCCCTAGAAGAGGGTTCTAATTGAAGGAAGTAATTATTTGTAATGCTAAAAAGAATAGTTAGACATTCATTATTTTTGGAAGAAATTTTTTTGACAATATTGTGCTTAACAATCGTATATAAATAACAGACTATAAAACTCTAGGAAACTGTCATGGTCTTTGGAATTGACTAACTATAATTATAAATCTATATATCATATTATCAGAAAATAATTGTTAATTTTTATTAAGATTATCTTTATCAATAATAGAAAACGCCTACGATCAATCACTGAATAATCTTAGACTAATCTCAACAAACGAGTTTTTGACTAAAATATTAAATAATTGAAATTCTCAAAGACTAGCTTACTATATAACTAAATTTTAAAGGTAGAAAAATATGAATGATTTGTGGACCCTGCCTAAGAATGAACCCGGGTTTACAACATTACAAGCTAACTCAATATTTTAGAAAGATATTGCCCCTAGGCCACAAGATTTTGCTAATAGACGTTCAAACCTTTGTGTCATCTATGAGCAAAATCATAAGGCTTGCTTAATATTTTTCTAGATAAATATTGAGTTGGTCGTTTTTAAAAATCTGTTCAAAACGAGGGTTTGACAAAACTAATACTTGATTTTATTACCATTTCAAAAAAGAGATCAGTTTTATAAGATTTATAAATTTATGAAATCTACAATAATTTTTTGATTTCCCCATTCTGTTCTTATATCGAAAAGGGCTTATTCTTTTATTTTATTAAAAAGATAACATTTTAATTTGATTTCAGCATGTCTGCGTTGCATGAATATCATTATGTATACCCAACGTTTGATAGTGAGTATAGTTTACTTTTAATAATTTGCATTTGGATTAGAATACTGCGATATTTTATTATATAGAATAATTATAAAATTTGCTTAAAGATATAACTCATCTCATGATATTGCATTATTAAAGAGAAAGGGTGACGTAATTTTGAACAGAAAAAAATCTTTGATAGATGAGGCAGTGATTTATTTTTTAGGATTAATTTTAACGATAATCTTCTTTTTGGATAAAAAACTAATTTTTTTTAGGGAAAAACATGATATAATGCATATTAATGTTTTAGGAAAAACTATGATTATTAAGGGATGGAGTAAATAAAAAATTTTAAACCTATTTTTAGCATAAAATATTAAATTCTTGATATATTGTATATTAGTGGAATAGAAGACTAAGACAAGACAAATCTTTTGACCAATATTTGATATATCCTGGGATTAGTTATTTTCAGAAGGGATAGGGTGTTTTATTCTATTTGAAATCTAGAATTTGAGGATATATGCGAAGTCAATTAAAATTATTTAAAAGTACCCATTAAAAACTTATCAAAAAAAATTGTAAGGGGATGTCTTAATAAATTACTATACCTTATCAAAATGGCATTTTTTTAGTTCAAAATCTTCTCACCTTTCTCTATAAAAGGTATGCCAAGTATAATCTTTAAAATTTTATAATTTATTGTAATTTTGAGTATTTTATGGAAATAATAAATAGCCATTGTATCACAAGGGTACAGGATTTGTACACCAATCAACCTATTTTTCCATATATTTATTTTTAATTATTTAGACATTTTAACTGTAAATTATTTTTAAAAATAATTTATTCTGATTTAATAAACACATAAATAAATATGAACTCAAAGTAAATCCTATTCAATTCGACATCTTTCGTCCTATTCTTAAGTTTTCCCAAAAGTGACCACTGGGAAATTTTTTTCCTTTTTATACACATAATTTAAAAACAAGCTTAAATTATTCATTTTTAAAATAAAGATTTTATTTCTATGTTATTAAAAATATATGCACAAAATATTTATGCATAATTATTCTTGAAAGAGGGTGAAACCTAACTTATTATAGATTCATTTACATACGCTTTCTGGCTTTAGTCCTAAGAGAATGCTTGTATATAAAGATTATCCATAGCATAAATATTTTAATAATACAAGATTAATAGTTATATAATATATTTAAAACGTTTATTGATCCAAATTATGAAATCATTAGTTTATCATACTAAAAGAGCTGTAGAAGAACCTGGTGATAGGGTAATTATTTTTATACAAATTTATTCACTCTATTTTTTATATATATTAGATGTATAGCAATTGTAGAGGAGATGGAAATATTTTTAGGAATATATTAATGGGGATCAAGCGGAGACCCTTGATCAACCTAAATATAAAATATAGAGGTTCTTAGATGCTTGACAGGGCTGACCTAAATTAATCTAGTAATGAGATCTTAGGAGGTTCCAATATATCATAAATGATACTTTATATTATATATATTTACTTTTTATTAAACGTACCATAACTCAAAACATCTCAATATTATTATATTAATCTTTTAATTTAACTAATGAATTATTGTACTGTAAATGAGAAAAATTAAACTATATTGGTTTTTATTAAGTCCAAAATAAAAAAATATATTTACCTTAATTCTAGGACAGACTTTGTTTATACTTTTTAAAATGTTAATTAAATCTTGAAAATTAAGATTAAAGAGTCTTATTATAAATACCAGTCGTGGCATAATAAATTTTTATTGCAAATAAAATAAAATAACCCATATAAGGAGAGGAGGAGCAGGAAAGATGGGAAACTGCCGAAATGGATGAAAAATCTTTCATTGAATGCCACGAACAAAAGTATAACGAGCGTCATGGTTATGAGGTAGGATATATAATCGCAAGTGAAATTCGCTAACCAATAAGATAGTGGATGTACACTTGAAACCATTTGTAGGTGCTTAGAATGGGTCACTTTTTCAAGCACCAAATAAGTAGCGTAAGAGGCTGGAACGAAGGACAAAGCCGCTAATATAGCGATGGCTACAGTCATGTAGATCGCTAAAGTCACACTTAACACAAAATTATATTGTAAGGGAGTTAAAATACATAAAGAAATCAAGTAAGATCAAGTTTATTAAATTTATTTTGAGAAATAATTAATGTTTCCACAATGTTATTTTTACCTATTCTGATATTTTAATGTTGAGCTCATTTCATTTATTGTAAAGATTATTTTCAATATAAAAGTATTTGACAAGTTTATTTTGTATTTTTAGTTATAATTTCAAAAGTAAAAATGAGAAATGTTCTAGATCCTATTACCATTTTCTAAATTCTGGTAAATGTCAAGTTATTTATTATCTTTTTTATAATAAAATATAACTTTATTCTCGTTAATACAAAAGCATAATAAATTAATATGTTAAGAATATAAAAACATAATGAATAAAGGAAAAAAGACATAATTTCGAATTTCATTTATGATAAGTAGGCATAAATATAACATTATGAAGCTTTATGCCCCAAATCCAATACACATTTTATTAGCGGAATAGTCATTGGGCAAGGGAGATGAAATGGTGATCATCAGGTCTAATTTAATTTGAATACGCCTAGAATATTTTCAATTCGAACAAAAAAAAATTTTTAAGTGGACCTAAATAAAAAAATTGAGTAATTTTAAATTTTCCTTGATAACTAGAGAGATCTGCAAAGCCCTGGCCCCGTCCAGTCCGATAATTTTTTGAGCTAGTTTCCTGGCTTGGTCCGGTTAAAATTTTACCAAAAGTCAGGTTTAATTTTTTTAGATGAATTTTCCTATTAGCACATTATTGATGTCAATATTATTTTTCCCAATGTCGATTAAGGCTCTTATTTATATCCCTATTCTATTGCTATCTAGTTCTAAAACAACCTTTAACTTATCTTTTTCTATAATAACCATTTTATAAATCAATTGTGTTTAATATCTGCATTGTGTATTTGTAGTTGGATCATGAGAAATAACTTGTTTAATTTTTGCGAATTTATTTACTTTTTTATTTATAGATTTATATTTTAGTTAGACAGATCTTATAGTGAAAAACATGTAATATATTAATTAAAAACAAAATATTTAAACATAGTATATTTATTATTCGATTAAAGAATATAATGAAGAATAGAAGGGGTAAGTAATATATAAACAAATAATTATTTATTTATAAAATATATTATTCTTAAAAAAAAATTATTTGAATTTACATATAATATTTACTTTAAATTGTTGTATTCTCATAATGTAATGTAAATAATTTCACTTAACAGTTAACTTCGATAGAGCTACTTATTATTATATTGAACAGAGGCGATTAAATTCAATAAAATAAATGATAATTTAAATTAAGTAAAATTTCCATAATTATATCTGGATAATTCACATTACAAGGGAACGTTGTTTATTCATTTTATTCGACTTATAAATAATATATTATCAAATTCTGTTTCTAACTTAAATATAAACTTTTAAACCTCGTCTACTATTTCAAGACCAGAAAAATATACAAATATTGGGATAAAGAAAAAACTGACATAGTTAGTAAAATGTTGTCTCTACCGGAAATGCAACAAGTGAAAGTTAAAGAATCTCTAAATATATTGGAATGTATACAGCGTCAGTTCTTAAGTTTAAACGAGATACATTTCCAGAAATAAATGTAGATCATCTAAAGGAATACATTATTCAAAATAGAGGAAATAAGAAAAATATTCATAATGACAAATAATATTATGATACAAGATATTATTGAAAATTTACACTGTGGTGCCAAAAATAAGACAACTATAAGAAAATATATAAAAAAAGAAAAAAAAGAGCTGGCAGAGGGAGACAGAAGAAATACGGCTGGGGCTATAAATATTCATCAAATTTACTTGAAAATTTTAAATATCCCATAAGAAAATTTTTTCTTAGATGAAACAAGAACCAACCTGCAGTGGTGCCAGTTTGTGCCTGGGCCCCATATAATGTTCGCCCAACTATAAAGATCCCGTCCTCGAAAGGTAAAAATGCTACTATTCTTTGCACAATTGGAATCGGAGTAGTAATTCTTTAAAAAATTATAGAGGGAGCTTATAATGGTTTATGGCTTATTATTCCGAGATTCCATGCGATAATTATTGATATTTTGTCACCTGATGCAATTATTGTAGTGGATAAAGCCCATATTCCTAGCTTAATCCCAAGAAAACTTTATTTGGTATATTCAAAAATAAATTTCGGGCAATCACTCCTCGACCTAATTCACAAAAATTATTACCAAATTATTGAGCTCTTTCGTGGATTCATTCGATATGATTTTACGAACTTTGACAATCATATGCAACAATATCTGGTATTGGGTTACCGCAAACAACCAATTAATCAGGTAATCCCTAATAATTAATTTATATTAATAATTTTAATAATTATTATTTTATATTCTAAAAAGGCATCACCTTCGAAGTAGAAGAAGATATGGAATGATTTTATAATATTTTGATTTTATACATAATTTTTTTATATACCTATTATTTTATCGAAATTATTATAAAATTGAATATATGTATATATCATATTGAAATAAATTGATTTAAATTTCAAGAAAAGAAATCCTAGAAAAAATTTTACAAAGTAGTTTTAAAAAGTTAATAAATTAAAAAAAATTTAAAAATTAATTTTTTTTACGTAAAATATATTTTATAAATAAACAATTAATATATGTTAAAACATTCTCTTATTTTTCATTATATGAAATTTAAATATATTAAAATGTTAAAGTCAGGGTTGGCCCATTAAAATTTATGAAAAATCTTATATATGTGAGGCCAGACCCAAGTTTTTAAGTATGATTTGTCCTATCGAGTTATTTTTATGTACGAATTGCCCAGTCCTACCCAACACGTTAAATTTTTACAGCTATCAGATGGACAGGTCTTTGCAAATATCTAGGGCTTCTTAATTTATCCATAATCTTTTGATAATTTTATATAATATAAATCATTGTTAGGATTAGAATGCAATTGTAAATATTATACTGATATGGATGGAGATATGTTATAAATAGCTATTCTCCTCATATATATTATGGTAAGATTGAATTTAGATGATAAATAACAGGCAAATTCTTTGTTACAAAGATTGCCCAAAAATTAGCCAAATGTTTGATCTCTCCTTTTAATTCATATTAATAAGAGTCTACATCTGAATGCAACTTAACCAAAATTGTTACTATTTACGTAGTGGCATAGATAAGGCAACTCCCTACCCCGAGAAATAAATTTTTTTTTTTTAAATCAATTAATTAAAAAGTTAAATATATAGTGTTAAACAAATTAGATATTTATAAATTTAATAATATAGTGTTAAAAAAATTAGATATTTATAAATTTTATAATATATTGTTAAACAAATTAGATATTTATAAATTTTATAATATAATATAATTTATATTGTTAAATACCTATTAAATAAACTGAAAAGACAAGGAACATCTATAAAGATAACTTAAACCAAACCATAAGATTCAAAAATATTTTGAATAGGGGAAAATCTTTGATGTATTTAAACGTAATTGATTTTTGAATCGGGATCTAAAATTTATATTTAAGACTCAGCCTAATGCGTGCTGTAGTTTTTATTTCGCTTATAACTGGTTTTATTTATTGATTAAAAAAACAGAAATAGGTACTAATTAAGACTTACATATTGTTCATTGCGTCTATAATTTTCCTTCTGCATATCAATCTTGGAAATTTATTTTTATTTAACAAATAATTTTTTTCTTTAAACTATCTACCAAACGGGTTGAAGCACTAAAAAGTATGAAATACGCACTAATTATTAATATAAATATCAGAGATAATGCTTCCATATCACTATGTGACTTTACGCATAAGACGTAATATAATAATTTGTATTTAGTTGGTAACTCGGTTATTATTTTTGTGGCTGGCGAAATTGATGATAGAATTAATAAGTAAGGCACTAAATATTAATTTAAATTAGATAGTTATAACTTATGTAATCTCCATTCTAGCATGGTGCTAATTTTGCCATTTTTTACTAATATTCTTTTCTCCTTTAAACCATCTATAAAATAAAACTATAAAATGTTCTAATAAAGCTCTACTTAATGGTTTGGTATAAGTTTCAGATTTTTCTAAAAACTTGGCTAACTCGCTTAAAGTGTAACTTCTTAGTTTTCATTTTATTTATAACTCTATTTCTTTTGGTAGCTCTATATTTGATTGAAGAATTAATTGTAGTAGTCAGGCATTAAATATTAGCGTACGCCAGATTTATAGCCTTGTTTAATTTATTCCAGCATAATGCCACTTTCCTACAGTCTACCTAACAGATTAAATTAATTTACATTGGCACTAAATATAGATAGAATTTTCAGTTGCTTTTTAATCATAAGGTTGGCCAAAACTTTGTTACTGCTTGCTACTATATTGGTTATAGTCAGACACTAATAAAGCACATAATATTGGTATATTTTAGAACTAATACTTACAATTGTTCAGCCAACTTTAACGGAGATGATGTAAAGATAACCACGGAAAAATCAATAATATAGATTATTTTTTATAAGACCCCGCCGAAGGCTGAACAAAACGGAATTTAAAGGCGAAGTCCCTCCCCCCATTAAAAATTTTTTTTTTAAATTCCCCCATCTCAGGATAAATCCTAACTACGCCACTGAATTTACTATATAAAATATTAAGATATTCATAATATTTTATAGATTATTAATTATGATAAAAAAAATATGATATATATTTGCTTTGAAATTTTCTTCTATCTTTGCCTACCCAATTTTTTCTTTTTCAAAAAAATAAAATATATGCCAGATGTTTTGCATAATAATTTTGAACTAGAGGATGGTCATTTTTATACCAAAATGAAATGGATTTCAAACGATATTTTGGCCGGTTCTGCTGTATGGCATTAAAACATAAAATATTAAAAACCTTGATTAAATGATTATTGATTTTTTTAAATATTCACAAACATTTACGATACATTATAATAAGCTACAGCTCACTCTACTTTTATAATTTGAAAAACCTAAGATTTGGATATTTTTTTACTAAGCGCAGTTCACTCTAACCTTTAAAATATAAAGGAGAGGGACATATCGAGTCGTGGAATATACGTAGATCTTACTTAGTCCAATTCAAGACCCGATCTAGTGGCGTAGGCACCTCCACCCCCATAAAAATTATAAAAATTTTTTTTTAATTTACTAAATTTATAATAAATACTTGAAATTTAAAAAACAACTATTTTTATGTTTTTAATTTATTATAAATAATAATTTATTTATAGTATTTGATTATTTTTATATTTTTGATTCTAGACGAATTAGCAAAATCTCAGAGAAAAGTAGACCTCTTTTTCTAAATTCAAATTCGAAAATTGAACATGATTATATTAGTTTTAATTAATCAAATTTTTTAGTAAAATGAATCTTAGTTATATATTTATATAATTTTTGTATTAACTCTAAAATTTATGCAATTAATACTATTTTTAATCAAAATACTGTGTGTTATTTATATTTATGATAATATCGTCATGTTTTTTTAAATACCATTATTTGCATAAGAATTACATACATATTTTATGTTATTGTTAAATTACACTTTTTTTACAATAAAATTTTTAATATTATAATCTATATAAAATATCTACATTTCAAATATTTTAAATAATAATAATAATAGATGATTAAATAAAGGAATGTTATTTATGCTAAAGTATTTTTATATAATAAATAAAATCTATAATGAAATACTCTCTAAATTTATTATATGCAAATATTTAAAATAATTTTAACATAGCCTATAAGATATAAGCAATTGAGTGTTTATAAAAAATGGGAGGTTTGGGGGGCTTATTTTATCCCTCCCCCATGAAAAAATCCTGGCTACGCCACTGACCCGACCCGACCCAAAATTAAATATTAGAAATATTTTTAATAATCATTTTGTTCGAGAAATGTCAATCAGAATCACATGTAATTTTTAATATTACACGTGTCATTCGTTCATTTAAGTAATCATTTCCCAACTTAACGATTTCTTAAATTTTTGAGAATAGTTAAAACCTTTTTATCTATATCAATTCTATAAGGTTAAAAAAAAATATAATATATATCATATTATATTTTTAGCCAATATAAAATCTATAATATTAATCTGAAATATTTTCATTTGATACTTTATTTTGTTTGATATGTTCGTTTAAATAGATTTTTTATATTTATAAAATGGACCCAAATTTGAAAGTAATTTCTGAAAAATTACTTTAATCAGATCGGGGTCGGGTCTGGCTGGAACAAAAAATTGTGCTGGGGATCGGGTCGACGGACATCGGAATTTTGGAGTCGAGTTCGGGTCCGAAATTATTTTGCAACGTTCTATGTATGAGTGAGGTGCACCTAAGATTGTTTATATCATGAATAAAATAACTTTTATACTACATTTTATTAGATCATAAGATTTAAGATTTGTACTATTTTTCGTAATCCTTATTAATAAAAGGATATATATATTATTATTAAAATAGATTTATATGATCCTATGTGCACCCCAAGAAGCAAATAAGGAAGAGAATATATCAAAATGATATAGGCGTGTATCCCCCTCCTCGTAATAGTAATTTGATGCATGTATAACCCCTTTTAACTAAGAAATCATTTTCTGTAAGACATCATTCATTGAAAAATTGTTTCCTGTCGTATACAAAAAATACTTAAAAATAATGAATTAAATTTTAAAAAGAATGAAAGCAATCCAAATATTTTCTATTAATTTGATTTGTATAAATTGGGATGAGATAGTGTTCACTCATTTTTCATAGCGATCTTAAATTTTATCAGGAAATATATTTTTAAATATTTTAATTTCAAATAAAGCTTTAGTTTAAAAATAGCAAACATTGTTTATAATTTAAACAGTTATCGTTTAATACCTATTTAAATACAAAAGTATTCATAATTTATCAGACCTCATATCCTGAACAAGGTGATAATGCGATTTTATAGGGTGGCTTATAACTAGTATGCCATAGTCGTCAACACTGGTATTCCCATTTATCTATATAAAATAAATATTGAAAAAAAAAATACATTCAAAGAACATTAAATTTTCTCACGACTATGAAAATCGTTTTAAAAAAATTAGCTTAATAATTTTGTGTTTAACATGATCACATGTTAAGTAATGATATAATAACATATATAGTATAAAATAAATATAATTTTAATTGGAAAAAAAATTTAAAGTACCAGAAAAATATTCTGGGGAAATAATTCTTAGAAAACGTATTTCCCAGAAAATAATTCCCCGAAAAAAATTTCAACAAAATGAACCCTAAAAAAACAGGAAAATAAATCCCTAGGGAAAAAAAACTCCCACAGAAAATAGTACCCCCCAAAATATTCCCATAAATATTTCCCCGGAAAAAAAAATCTATTTAATAATTTTGAAAAAATAAGAAATTCCTCAAAAAAAATTCCCCAAATAAAATTAAACAAAATTATATACAATAAAAAGTGGTTAATGTTAAATTTATCCCATTTTTTAAAATATTGTAAATTAACCCTAAGCCATATTATGTGCAACGTTATAGCCTTATCCGGTACTCGTTTGGTGAAATTAAGGTAAATAATCAATATAAAATAAACTAATGTCTAACTATATCATACCTCTATCCTAAATTACCATTATTTTTTATTCGGAATATTTTAGAAAATATTTTTTAGACATTCTTTTTTTTAAAAATATTTATAATTAGAGGTCTGCAATGGGCGGATTTGAAATTTTTTAGCCCGCCCGCACCCTAATAATTTTTTTAAATTTAACTACCCGCCCGTCAATTTATTTATAAATATTTTTTAAGTCACCCTCTTCTCTAATGTTTAAAAATTGTTTTAATAAATGTATTATTAATTATACATATAAATGTGATATTATGAAAAAAGCTATTATTTTTAATAAATCGAAGTCTTGTTTTGCTAATTTTACCTAAGAAATATAAAAAATTTACCCGTCCACGCCCGCCCAATGTTAAAAATATTTTTTAAAACCTGCCTATTGCAGACCTCTAATCTGAGTTATTTTTTTTAATTAAATTTTTAAGATTGACCCTGAATTTTAGATATAAGCATAACATTTTTTGGCCTGGGTTGGCTAGTCTCTATTTTAAACAAATCAAAATCTGAAAAATGTTTCCTAAATTCAAACTCGAAGTTAGTTTCAAATAATTAAAAGATAATTAAATAAATCTTGATTCATCTCTTAAACATTTTCGCCAATATTTAAATATTTGTGGAAAAGTTAGGGTATAGACCTTTATTTTGAAAGAAATACCTTTACATTATTTATTTCTTTTAAAAAAATATTTCTTTTAAACTAAAATTTTACACATCTTTACATTCTCCCTTTTTGAAGTTATTTAATTATTAATCATTTTCTAAATTTTTTTAAAATATATGTTAGAAATTATTTTAAATATTAAATTGGGAGATTTTAACTTTGATTTTTCATAATATCTTCAAAAATGATTAGCCAGAACTTTTTCAATCAGCTGAGGAAAATTATGTGTTTAAAATAAATTATTTAAATAGATAATTCATTTACAAAGCTAATAAAACTTTAATTCTAGCTAGTTTACATTAAATCATACATGAAAAAACGCATTACCTTCTAATTTTATAGAACAGAGATACGCTAAATATTCCTTATTTCCAACAAACTAGGTAATTGCTTATACCCGAGAACTACAGATTTAATTACTCTATTTCGTGGGGAGTAACTGATTTTAGATTTAAATATCTGAAAGTAAGGTTGATTGATTCGCATCCTATTTTATTCTGATTTTTTAATCATTTTTATTTTATCTTTTGAATTATAACATCTTATATTTTCGATACGGCTTACCTTAAAAGAATAAAGCCAAGTTGGAGCATTATGAACTAGATTACAATTTGAGTTTCTAATCCGGATGTGTTTAGACACCAAAAGCTTGTCATTTAAGATTACTTTAGAACAAAACGCGATTAATGACTCCCAAGCATTACTGATGAAAATTTGCATCCTCCTACTTTCCTTCTTAATTTCCTAAGCTTATCCACCATATAACAAGACGAGAATAATAATGAGTTATAGATTCGTAATCTAGTGCAGACCTGTATCTCTCTGGTCTTCCAGAGTTTGAATATATGTAAAAAGCTGCTCTAGCATTTTGAATCCTGATCAGTAATTACTATACAACGGCATTTGCTGTCTAAGGTAACCCCAGGGTACTTAATTATTGGCACTACCTTAATTTCCTATAAGAAAAGGGGCTTATCCTGTTTGCCTTATTTTTGGATTTTGAAGGGGAATGGGGGCGTTATATTGCTAAATTCAAGTGAGATGAAAAAGTTGCTATAAAGATACCTGAAATCTTTTTATACTACAGAAGCTGAACAATTTGTAAAAATGTATCTCAAATTAAGCTATAGCAGATATACAATCAGGCGTTTCAGAATACTTACTTTGGGTCCCTTATAAAAACTAAAACCGGCTACATCTCAGCAAATTAAAATGCTATATAAAATTAAAAAACATTTTATATTAACCAACACTTACGGTTTTAGAATTTAAATCAAATAAGCTAATAAAATGGGTTCGTTTAAACTCGGTTAAGACACTGGTTGTATTTAATTATAACTCACAATTTATTTGTGAAGAGACAATTCAAACATTTAGACTAATATCTTTCTTGAACCAGAAAAATACAAGCTAGCAATAAAAGAATTCCCTGAATGTAAGCCCTCTTTCCGTGATACCCGAAATTGAGCATAAGCGTCATAGGTTAGTTTTGTTCTTGAAGGATGATTTTATATTTAACTTCAGGCAAATTTCTCTGTTAGATTTAATGATATGCAAATAAATCTTGGTAGACTAATATTATCATATATAACTTATATATTCACATTTCAAGTTTTCTTTTCACTTATGATATTTATTGAAATTTAAATTGCCTATTGATTGATTTTAATTATTATATTTGCTAAACAGTAACATGAGGTTAAATATGAATGTGATTAATTAAATCCTTTATTATTTATTTAAAATTAGATGTCGATCACTTTTTAACTACTAAAAGAGCAAATATAGCTCTTGTTAAAGTGCTCTTTTATCAATTAGTGATAGTTTTATAAATTTGTTTCTGTTGTATCTGTCGATTTGTAATTGACATTTATGGACGTTCTGTCAATATATTTTCAAAAATTTTCTTTGTTTTTAATATCCTTTGTTTTAAAAAGAAAATGGATTTTATTTATATGTATGAATGTAATAAAAATGATGGGTTGTAATATTTATAAAGATAATAAAGATAATTTAAACAAGTTGTAATATTGATATTTTGAAATATATGTCGTATGAGGATGCGGAATCCGTGGGCGAGATCTCACAATTACTAAAGGCGATTTTAGATTTTAAAAATCTGATTTTACAGGAATTGTATTTTCTAGCATTAAAGTATTTACCCTATAAATTTCAGCCAATTCAGCCTTAGACATTTTAGTATTTTTTAATTTATATGAAAAATCCATATAAAAATTATTATAAATTAGAAGTAGTTCTAAAGTTCATGGCAAAATTGTTTGAAATTTATAGTGGGCACTCTATGCATGCTGAAATACAATTCCTGTAAAATCAAATTTTTAAAATCCAAAAATCGCCCTTAGCAAATTATTTAAAATTGAGAGATTTCGTATCCCCACCGATTCCCAATCCCCCTACAACATATATATAATCATGGGATGTAATATTTGTTTTTGATATTAATAATTGTATGAAAAATATATAATAAATGGATTATTGTTACCTTTAAAGAAACCACATAAAAGGGTTAAACAACTCAACTAATTACTACCTATACGATCAAGAGCTATGATTAAAATTATGATATTCTAAAATAAAAGGTAAAAAATCATACTTGTATGCAATATATAAAATAAAAAATAAGAAAGTAGAGAAAAATTGGAATAGATGTAAGGGAAAAAGGGATGAGACATAAAAAGAGAAAAAAATGTAATATGTTTTGAAAAGAGAAATTTGGATATATGTAATGTATTAATTTAAATAAAAAAATATTAATAAAATTAAATTAGAAATGTAAATTTATATGAATTTAAAAATGATGGAAAATGAAAAGAATTTAAAAATGTTGGGAAATGAAAAGAATTTATATTGATTAAGATGAAAGAATGTAATATAAAAATAATATGTTAAAATATATTCTCAGACATGAAGTTGATGAAGCATAAATATATGGTTCAGGTTAAACATATACAAAGAATGATTAAAGTTAAGAAGTCGCAGGTTAAGATGTTTTGATATATATATATATAAGTTAAAAATTTGGATAAATAAATGAATAATATTTTGTATTTTACTATTTTATATATGTTAATAGTTTATATAATTGAAAGAACTAAATTTTAAATGTAAGTTAATTTTAAATTGTAAAAAATATAAAGAAAAGTTGGTTCCATTTAAAAAGAAAGAAGAGGGGTGATATTCAATAAGGTGTGTTTGTTTAAAAAAAATTATTTTATAAAAGTTATTTTAAAATAAATAGTTAAATATTGAGTGTTGTGATATTGTATTATTTTTGTTTGTATTTATTTAAAATAGTTTTGTTTATATAAATTTGAATATTTATGGAAAATAGTTTTTTTTTATATAAAGTTGGATATTCAGAGTTCATGTAAAATTTGAATATGTATATTGTTAATAATCCGACGAGTATTATATTATGCAAATTATTATACTATTACTATATAATATGACATGATTATAATGGGTCTTACAAATAGCGATGTCCAGCCCGTAAAAAGTAGAACGCAGACAAATCTGAAAAAATAGAAAGAAAGGACTTTTTACTTTTACAAATTATCTTTTAATTTTATTTATTTTCTTTTTATTTTTTGTTACTTTTTCCTTTTATGTTAATTTATAATTGATTAATATATAATTAATAGTTTAATAAAGGAATTATAAAGTTTCAAAACGATAATTTTATTATTTAATTTTCTTTCTATTTTATTTCTAGGCACTAATACACAACTCATTACAATGATCAAATTAAAAGATAAGATAGAAAGTAAGGTATGGGTTTAAAAGGCTTCAATTGTCTTAATTGAGCAAATTAAAATAGGTGATAAAAAGTAAAACATGGGTTTAAAAGATATTTTTAGGTTAATTTTTTAAGTTATATTTTAGAGGTTGGTGATATAATGGAAGAACCATTATATGTTACTGTGATATAGGTTTACTTTTAAAATGTTGGTGATATAAATGGAGCAACCATTATATATTACTCTGATAAAAGTGTACTTTTGAAAAAAAAAATTGGGGTATGGTGGGGGGGGGGGTAATAATTTATGTGTTATATGTTTTGATTTTAACTTTTAAACCCAGTGTTTTAATAATAAGTTTTATTTTGTAAGCCTTAAGACTCTGAATGACGTATAGGTATTCGTCATAAAAAATAGAGACCTCCTCACGTAATGCAAGACAGAAAAGATTGCTTAATATTTAAATTTTTGGATTATTATTAGCATGAATAAAAATTTTTGAAATATAATGAGAAAAAAAAGTTGTATTGTGATAATATTGATTTTTTTTTTTTAAAAAAAATGAAAATTATGGATATGAAACATTTTGCTAATGTTTAAAAAAAAATGAAAAGAAAATGAAATGAAATGTTTGAATAATGTTTTATATAAAAAAATAAATGAAATAAAAGGAAAAATTATGTGATGAAATAAAAAGTATGCAAATCCTTAGATATTTATCATGTGTTAAGAATTGAAAATCAAGAATGGGTCATAAATAGTTCAAGTTTTTGAAAAGAAGAATAAAGTTTATGTATATGCATGTGTAAATTGTATATATATGTAAAGATAAATTAATAAAAATATTTTTGATTTTATATGTATAAATGTGGGTTTATATATGTAAAGGATAATAATGGATTAGGTAATATTAAAATATTATTATTTTTAAAATTTTGGAAGTTATATAAATGAAGGGAATTGGCCATTTGCTATTATTTTAGACCCAAGGAAAGAGGGAAAGTAGTCCATCATATAATAAAAGGTTTCATGAGAATTGGGTTCAGAAATTTTGTGTTTAATATCTGAAATTTAGGATTAGAATTGATAGGGAAGAAGTGTATCTGGGGTAATAGGAAAGAATAAAGAATAATATAATTTAAAAAAACACATTTGACTGATTAACTCTTTGTAATATTCTGTCCAATCAACTACAATGATTATGCCCAATAAATTACAATGATTCTGCCCAATCAACTAAAATGATGCTGGACTAATGATACCAAGCCTAAGATAGAATGATCATGACTGACTAATGATGCAATGGATCAATCAAGTTATGACCCACTATAGCATTAAGAATTAATGACAATCAACAGTACAATATCCATCAAGCTATGACCCGAATACCTTTAAAATTAAATGATAATCAACAGCACAATGCAATTATATATGGTCAAGAGAAATATGGAACTTCCTAGAACAGAAAAAAGAAAATTTAATGAAAATAAATAATAATAATTTTTATATTTTTTTTTGATCATTTATTAGAATTAATGTAGACATTTACTTGATTATATATGCGTAAATTGTATTTCTTTACCCAGTTTTATTTCTCAAGAAAGTGGGGCATATTGTATCTGTTGATTTGTAGTTGACATTTATGGACTTTTTGTCAATATTTAAGAAAATTTCTTTGTTTTTAATTTCCTTTGTTTTAAGAAGAAGATTGATTTATATGTATAAATGTAATAAAAATGGTGGGTTATAATATTTAAATGAAGATAATAAAGATAATTGAAACAGGTTGTAATATTAATATTTTGATATATATATAATCATAGGATATAATATTGGTTTTTGATATTAATATTTGTATGAAATATATGATAAATGGAATAGTTTCCTTATCTATTTTGATTCCTTCGCAATTTTTAGGAATGACATTTAATCGATGCATCAAATTATGTTACCGTACAGCTAAATAATATCTATTAAAAATTGAAATTATTGCTAGATAATTATTTCTAATAGCTAGTTTGCACTAGTTATAACTTACACGTAAAAATCCCAATATAAGAATATTCTTCTTAAATTTTAATTGAGTAATTATAGTGCGATTTTTATATGTCCTGCCTTCAATTAATTTTAGAGAGATAAAAAGGTTATGCATTAAAAGTAAAAAGAATATTAATCAATTAAAAAAACCCAAAATAATAAATATACTAATTAAGTTAAATTATAGAACATTTATTAAGTTAAAATACTAAAAATTCTCACCATAGGTAAAACAGGAACTCCAGACTTTCTACTTTGGTTAATTTTTTGTCCTATTCGGAATTTCAGATAAGCATTATTGAATAATGAGAGGAAGGAAGGCATACTGGGCATCACCCTATTGTCATACCATATCTTAACATAGTCCCGGGGTTTTTCTTCTAAAAAGGGAGCCAGCAACCTGTATTTTTCGCGATACCTTGTTTTTAATTTATCTGGCAAGTTAGTAAGAAGAGCTCTGAGATTATTCACCAAAAAACGAACTAGAACGGGTTTTGTCCGATTAACATCATAATTAGAAGAGTTTCCTTCATTAGTATTTAACATATCCTTATATGTTACATGCTCTAACCCTCCAACGCGAAATAAGTCAAAACCGAAAGTCGTCTTCACCATGTAAGATGATACATTTTTTTTTCCAGTATAATTGAGCAATGAATATGGTCCCTTAGTTTGTATTATAAATGGGAGCTTTCCAGCTGAGCCCTGAACACAGTGATAAATAGTTGGATTCTCACGATGTGGGCAATGACATTGCTCACGATTGAATTGATTTATCATATGGCGTTTGTTTTTTTTTGCAGAGAATTTGGGCAAATTATCCATTTTTACTTTAATGTCATTGTTATAACTGCTATAACTTCCATATAAAATAGATATATCATTATTCTTGGGGTCTATTATTTGATTTTTTTTAAATATCTTTTGGAAAACATTTTGTTTCTCATTTACTTTATCTCGTACATTAATATGTTTACTATAAGATCCAAAGTTTATTCCAAGTTTTTCAATTGTCCCATTATTTTTTAAATTATTTATATTTCCAATCATCTTATGCTCAAAAATATTCAAATTATCCTTCAAATCAAGTTTCATATCGCTATTTCCGCCTATTATATTCCCTCCTAGAATGTCCAATATACTGCTTTTTTGGTTAAGGTGTAAAGGAATAAAGCCCTTTCCATATGAATTATAATGATAAGACTTATTAAGTTCTCTACTAACTCCAAATTTATTCCTATCTATGCTTCCTAAATTTAATTTTATTCCATCGCGGTAATCGCTATGCAGTTTTAATATAGTGTTCGTATAACGCTTAGGACCTGCATTATAAAGTACCCCAGGAGTGCACAATCTTCTCTCCATATCCGCCAGCCATAGATTGTAAACCATACGAGATCCAGCTTCATGAGGCATAACCTTAGAAATATCTTGAATGGATTTATTGGATTGATGGAAAACATCAAGAGAGACATAGGATGGAGCATTTCGATTTTTTTCGTCCACTAAAAAAATACAAACGGGTTGAGTACTCGTGTTTATCCGGATGTATTGCGTACTATTGTCGTATTGAAGAGATGATATAACCGAGTCGAAAACAAAGTTGTCTTGCGATAAAATTGGGCGGGAGCTATCGTGGGTAGATTCTCTTATATTTTTATGTTATGTGGATTCATAAATGAAAAATCAATATAAACTTCCTGAATTAATATAATAGGATATATAATTTTTTAGTATATTCTTAATAATTGAAATATGTTAATGAGACTGGAGGATACTGTATATAGAGTTGGGCAAATTAAAAAAAAAAGGAATCTATATAAAGATTAAAAAATACCTATTTGTATCTTACATAAAACATACTCTTTTATATCAAAAAATCTTAAAGAATCATTATTCATTAAGTTCGGAAAGTATGTTATACAGTCTACATATTACGTGTTAAAATAATTCATATTTGCTATGTGGGGGTAGGAGAGGAGGGGGTATATGAAATGAAATCTGATAACTTCTAGTAATACAGCCACATTATTCATAACTATTTATAATATCCCGTCATATTTAGACGTACCCTAAGAGGTTATTTAAAAAATATAAATTTTGAAATAATATTTTATATTGATTGTGTATGTATGTCGAAATTTTTTAAATATTTTAAAAGTTTCTTTAAAAAATAGTAATTAAAGGAGCCTAGCACCTTATTTCCAATTTTATCCTTTAAATTTTATTTTATAATATTTAAAATATTTGCCTTAATTATGTGTTTTTGATATTTATAAATATTAAATGATCAGAAATATTATTTTAAGCTAGGATCTAAACCGAAAAGAATATCGGTTCTTGTTCAGATAAAAATAAGAGTTCAAATATGGCTTGGATAAATCTATGAATTTATTTAAGTTTATAGTTCAAAATAATGATAAATTTTTTATATAAAATAGTGTGGCCATTCAACACCGATGACCTGAAAATGACCATCACATAAAATGATCTAACTAGAAAATTATTAGTAATATAAATTTTATATTATTTTAATCTATAGATTAAGGTTTGGATTATAAATTAATATTAAATCGTTTAAAGGCAATTTAAAAATTTTTATCTGCCGCAAGCAAAAACATGAGATCTTTTCCTTTGTCTAAAAGTTACGTGTAATTTTTTTCATGGGAACTTGTGTTCTGCTCCGCGTTTCTGATTATGGCAAATTTGTTTGAAATCCATATGTTTATACATATTTATTTTTAAATAAGGATTAATGTAAACAAACAGGTCTCCTCCCACACCTCTCATGTTAAAAAAATGATTAGTGAGGCAGAGCTATCAAAAAAGATTCACTATGTTGAATATTGTACTCTTTTTTTCATAATTAGCTTATATTAATTATCAAAAATAAATAACAGAAATTTTTACCATTCATTGACTGAATTATAATTCCATTACGATTTTTATATTTTATTTTGATATATTATTACAATGAGTTTATTTATTTCGATTTAAATTTTTTATTATTATTTTAATCTACTCCTAAGTATAATATTACAATACCGTTATACTTGATATAATATGTCGATAGTGATTGTGTTTGGTGTGTTGTATTTGTATATTTTCCCCAGCAATTTGAAAATCAAAAGAAGGGGAGGAAATAGAAACAATTTAATAAATATACAAAACTCCAAGAAATAAATAAGATTATTATAAATAATTCCTATCTTTTTAACAAATTGTAAAAAAGTATTTGTATTTTTAATTATAAAATTGACAAAAGATGCAAAGACCAAAAATATATATTTAGAAGGTTTAGGTTTACATATCTTATTAAAATGCAAAATGATACAAGTATTGGAAATACTGCCCAACTCTGTGTATATAATTAATAGGTATGTTTTCATATTAGGAAATAATAGCATACTTGAAAAAAACATATTGCGATACTTTGTATGTCCAGGGACTGAGTGGTAAGGGCAAAGTTTTAGGCGAAGAAGGAATCAGTCTGGTGAAAAGTAATGTGAAAAAGATTATACTCACGGGTAAAATTACTTCCACAAGAAAACCCTTAAAGTTGCGGAGGTGTCTTCTAAAACGCTTTTGGCATATAGCGGTGTATTGTTGAAAGTATCTTTTGCAACTATATACTTTTATTTTTCCAGATCCAGTGAAGTCTATGCGACCTTCTATAGGGATTTCATTATCTTTGATTTCCTTTTCTATAAATGAAGATGTAAAGTAATTTATGGTTTAATTTTATATTTATTTAAAAAATAGGGTTTCATTTTCATTACAATTATTTAATCCAGACAGGATACATTTAAATATATACCACAAAAAAATATAATTTTCGGCCTGATCCTTCTTATATTTTTTTTAAAAATTTTGTATATTTTTATATATTTTATAGTAGAGAAAAATACCAGACTGCGAGATATGAGCTGCCGAACGAATTTTCATAAAAATTCAGATTGTAAATATCTTTGATAGATAGATTTAAAGTATAATAACTGCTATAGGTTACATATGATTCTATATTTAAAGTGAGCTATAACTCAAAAATATTCACATAAACCGAAAGTGAAAACAGGAAAAAAGTATAGAATACTTAAAATTAAAATTTAAGTTTTATATTCAGAGATATAGGAATTTTCTAAAAAATGGGTTGAACTCTCAATAATTTTTAAAATTATAATCGAATATATAGGGTTTGTTTTAATATGAAACACCCTTTAACTTATAAATGATTGAAGAGAAAAAGTAAAAATTTTCAGGATTTAGCATCATTCTAGATGAAATATCATTGCCAAAAATTCTTAAATTTTACTTTAAGCTATTGGGACATTTATAACATATGCATAAGTTATAATGAGGTCGCTTATAATAAATAATACAAATAAAGAATAAATTTAATAGTAGAAGGGTGACCGTGGCTAATCGAACCAATTTATAAAAATCAGCCATGGCTCTTTTATATATTTAGAAATGATAAACTTAAAGCTATATTTAAATCAGAGATCTGCAGAGGTATTATTTGAATGGCCCGGCCAGGATTTTAAAAAAAATCTATCAGCCCGGTCCGGGATTTATATTTTCAGGCCCAAAATGGCTCGGATTTTTTTTATAAAAGATTTTTAGGCCCGGTACGGATTCTTTTTAAATATATTATATTTATTTTAATTTTTATAGATAATAATGGCTATTTAAAATATTTGGTTTATAAAATATTCTTAGGCACGGCCAGGGTATTTTAAAAAAAATTTAAGCAAGACCCGGGTATATATTAAAAAAATAAAAATACAACTCGGCCTCTGTACCCAGGCCGGGCTTAGGGCCTAGTCTAATATGAACAAAAGATAAATTATAAATTTAATAAGGCATCGTAAAATGCCTGTATAACTTTCTTGAATGATAAAACAAGTATTTGGCTATAAAAACCTGATTAAAAGCTATATTATAACATACTTAAATGAGATAAAATGGTTACATAACTCTATGGTTCAACTGCCCAGATCTTCCACCCTTCCAAAGAATAATAAATTTACACGAGTGCCCAAAACCTAAAACATGAGAACTATCTGAAGGGGAGGGAGCTCCAATGTTGCTGAAATAACAACTAATACTTTATCTAATCTCTATTTAATATGTAGGAATATAATTTGATTCTCCATTCTCTTCGCATTAATTAGGTTTCATTATTCCTTACAAACAAAGCTTAAATGGGAAGAATTTTTACGATTTTAGTAAAAATTATTATTTTGCGGAGGAAAATAATACCCATTTCTTTTTGATTTATTATTATTAGTAAATTCGGTCTAAAAGCGTTTTTTGGTTACCCAATATCAAAAAAACAAAATAAAGATTATTTGAAAAAATATAAGCGAAATTAAAAATAAAAACTTTAATAAAATTTCCCTACCAATTTTTATAAATGTTAATTTTTTAAATATACCTGAACCTAACAATGTGATGAGTTTTTTTTAAAAAACGATCTTCAAATTTTCTGATGTTTCGGGTCGGAAGGGTAAAAATGTAAAGTTATATAAAAAAAAAACCAAAAAATGATGTTTAGGCTTTAAATAGAATACTCAAAGAATAAAAATAAGCTATGGTGTGGACTAAATGCTCTCTAATACTTATTTCGGAAAAAAAGACTATGGAAAAAAAGCTGCCTGAAGAAAAAACTTGTTAATAAAATAACGTTAGAAGTAAAATCTCTAGGAAAAAATCTGCAGGAAGTTAAAATTTAAGAAAGAAAAGTATGGAAAAAAATACGGAAATTTCATTAAGTTTTCGAAAAATAAATATATATTAAATAATAAAATAGAAGGTAATATTTATGGCAATAATTAATGTTAACATTTAATAATACACTATAGGTTTATATTAACCCAAAAAGCTGCGAAATTTGTTTTCTTAAGAAAAGAAGTTAAAATCAGGGACGAGAACTCGAACCCTGAACCCAAACCCTTTTTTAAAATTTAGGGTTCAGGGTCCAAGCATTTTTTTTTAAAAAAGTGATTTTTCTGTTATTTTAACTAATTTCAATAAGTCATTATTTTTCTGGTCTCACAACCCTGTATCCACCTAAACCCGAACCGGGTTCAGAAATTTTTCACTGAACCCAAACCCGAACCCATTTTTTAGAAAGGAACGTTCACATGCCTGGTTAAAATATCATTTTATATCTTATTTTTTTTAGATCTTTTAATATATTAATATTGAAAATATATTTTGATCCATAGCTGCCAGGTATATTAAATTTATGAGCCCGGACCAAGCCTTACTCAATTCGGACCGGGCTTCTAGCTAACTTCTATTTAGGTGACAATTTCTCTATCCCTCACTCCTTAAATCTTTATATATACATGCATTAAAAGTAATTCTTGACCTTAAATAATAATCTTATTAATTTTATTTTATTTTTAGATATATATTAATTATCTCCGAAGACTTTTATTCCTATAGATTTTTTTTTCGCAGTTTATTCTCAAGGTTATTTTCCCCGCATTTTTTGTTGCCTTAATTTTTTCCCCCTGAGATTCCCAGCATTATTTTTTGTTAATGTTTTTTTGATCTATATTTTTTTACACAAGGTTTTTCCCATATTACATAATATATATAATAAGTGACCCTCTTTCATTTGAGAAATTGCCTCGATCCTTTTTTCCAAACCTTCTTTTCGGGCCAGAAGAATAGCAGCACTTTTTAACATGGGCATTGCATATTTGCCTCTATCCGTTGTTTGATATAACAAATCCCCCATATCTTTTTCCAAATTTTCATCATGCAATGCAGTTACCTTTATAAATACCTAAACGCATTTGAATAAAAAAATGTTTTAAAATAAAAGAAATTATAATATAAATTTTAAAAAATTATCCAAAAGTATTTATATATTTTCTTTAGTTAATTGCAGAGACCTGCAGAGGTACCATTTGCACGGTCCGGCCCGGTTTTAAATTTTTTAGGCCCGGCCTGGATATTTTAAAAAAAAATTTTTTACGGCCCGGCCCGGATTTAAAAATTTCAGGCCCGGCTCGGAATTTTTTAAAATTATATTCGACCTGGTATATACAAAAATTCACCTATGAGGTATTTTACCAATATTTTTCAGCGAGTATTATCGCTTATTATTTAAAAAATACATGTAAAAAGCTAATATTTTGAGAATATTATATTGAATTTATAAAAATTATAAAACTGTTATTTATAAAAATGGATATTTTGAGCATACACTATATTTTATATTGCATTTATAAAAATAAAACTAATATTCATAAAAATGGTAATAATATTTGTCATATACTATATTTTATATTACAAAAAATAAAACTAATATTTAATTTATAAAAATGGAAAATATTTTGAGAATATAATATAATGTATTTAATTTACTATTTAATTTATAAAATAAAAATAAATCGCTATTTAAAAAAATGCATGTATAATAAATAGTATTTTGAAAATATAATCTAATTGCACAATATTAATATAATTTATTTTATAATATAAATTTTTAACAAAAGAAGATAATTGTATTATATAATATTGTAAAAAAAAATAATGAAAAATGTTGGATTAAAAACTTTCATGACTCAAGGTAAATATAATAAATGCAATAAATATTTGACAGTTTGCAAAGTAAAAAACCAGCATGATTGACGAAACCCTATACTCAAGAAAGATATTAAAAATTCACAAATTATCATGAAGAAAGAGAAGCATATCTACCTTTTCAGGTTGAAGATTACTTCTTCTTTCTTCAAGAATTCTCCCAGTAGTGGAAAAATTCCGCTCACAGCTTGCACTTAAAGCAGGAATTGCCAATTTTGCTAAAATTGGAAATTCGCTTTGATGAGCCGCCCACAACTCTAACAAATTATCCACCTTAAATGTTTTATCTATTATTTATGTAATTATAATATTAATCATCGGGTATTGACATATTACCAGAATTACCATCACCCCATTTGTCATAAAACGATTCAGTTTGTTTAACAACAGTCGTAATTTGACTGGTCGATGGTATTTCATTTACTTCCTGAGCCTCTTGTAATTTAATATAATCTTTTATATAGTTTTCCGTCATTTTGCGATCTGTCCCTGACTACATACGTAATTGCTTGAATTTGGGACAGAGAAAAAGAGAAATAAAATGATACTTGTGTAAAACAAATTTTTCAATTAAAAAATGCCTTATATTAAGTAAAATCAATTTTATTTCTCCTTTTCGCTTTGAAAGGTATTACAAACTTTAAGAAGTGATATTCCTTTATTTGATTGTTTTGGTAAAATATGTTGTAAAAATTTAGATATGAATTATAAAAAAATATATTAATACTTTGAATAAATTTGAAGGAAATTAATAATTAGATCGATCTGTGGGTTGTTAGGTAGTGTTAACATCACCCAATATTATATTAATCATAACTATAATATAATATAATCTTATAACTATTAACTCATAATGTAAAAATTTTTATAAAAAAATTAAGGCCCGGCCCGGATATATTTAAAAAAAAATTTTTTAGGCCCGGCCCGGATATGTTTAAAAAAATTTTTTTTAGGCCCGGCTCGGCCCGGCCCGGGTATATTTAAAAAATTTAAAATACGGCCCGGCCTGCAGGTCTCTGGTTAATTGTTTATTTTAAAATTAATGTTTTATAGATATGTAAAGGATATGATGTAGAAATATTATTTTGTTTATGATGATTTATTTATTACCTATATTTAGAAATACTATATTAATGAAAAGTTGTAGATAATAAAATTTATGTGTGAATATTATATTTTGCAAGATGATACTATAATTTATGGAATCTGTTTAACTTATACAAGATTATCTCATACTTACCTGTTCCAGTCTACCTTGGTATAACACAACAATTAACGATTATAAAATTATAGCGTTTATAAAAAAATTTAATGATTTTTCTTTATTTTCTAATTTTACTTTTTCCACACATTTGAGTATATAAAGATTTTCTAGCCTGATATATTTTTATTTTTACCATCTGATATTTCCCATTTTTGAGTTTTTTTAATAAGTTGCTTTAAAAAATGTATTTTATTTCCTTTTTGGTATGCTTCCCTCTCCCTAATTAATGATTTTTGAATGATTTACTTGTTTTTTTTTAAAGTTTATTTTAACACATATTTTGATTTTTCTGTATCTTACATAGCTTGGAATACAAACCAGAGCTTTATAGTTTTTTGTGGTATAATTTAACCACCTTGGGCTGTCTCAAAAAGGTAAAATCAGATACTTGACCAGTAATTAGTAATTAGCCCCAGCAAACTTCATGGTCCTCTCTCTTATTATAAAATCGGAAATTCCATCCTTACTTATCAGGAATTAAAGTTATCTTAGAATAAAATGAAAAAGTAAATTATTTTAAACAATGCTGCCAAGTTTAAAAAATAAAATTGGAAAATAGTTTGTTAGAAAATGGAAGATTAAACGCTAAGAGAGGTAAGAACGAATTATTCACAATACCTAACCATTGTAACATACTAAAATATATAAGTTATAAAAAAATTAAGGAAATTTAGATTTAATTAGTTTTAAAACAAATCGAATTCGACTCACGTGGCACTTCGCCGTGATCTGGTCTACCCTATATGAAATTATGTTAAAATTTAAAAATTTACTTCTTCTAATGAAGCGTCAGTCAAACCGTAACTATCTATGCCAAGGGCCTCTTTGTAATTTTCGAGTATTATGAACAAATCTTTGAGAGCTTTATAATTCATGGTCGAATCAAAATAGTTTGACCTCATCCAATAAGGTAAAACGAAAGTGTATTCATTTCCTATATGTTCAATTAATTCGCTATTTGCCACGAAGTGCCTGAGTAAAGACAAGAAGATCTCTTGAAAAAACTCTTCCTTTACCTCTTTAAACATTATGTTGCAGAAAAAAATACTTATAAATATTGATTTAACAGTAAATACACAGTAATTATATCATTAAAAATAAATAAACATTAATTAAAAACTATATTATATTTGTATCTTTACAATGAAGATTTGAATTCCGAAATTTTAGATTTTTAGATAAATTACTTTTTTTTTATTTTATCGAATTTAAATAATTCAAAATTTTTTGAACATGATTATCAAAGCTTCAATAAGTCAAGAAAAATTAATAATTGTATATTTAATTTATTAAAATAACATTCAAGAGTGTATACCGTTTGATTCATCTGCTATTTTTTTAAGCCTATCAACATACGGTAGCTTAATAAAAGAATAGTTATATATTTTACATTATTCGTATAAATTATAAACATAACTAAAATGTAATTTTAAAAAATTATGTTAGCAAAAATCTTTTAAATATAATGTTTTGACACCTATAACCTATACAAAGACTTCAATATATAATTCGTTAATAGTTCAAAACCATATTTAAATGTATTTAAAATTAGAAATGAAATATATTTATTTAATCACCATCAATTCCATTTGGGCCAATTGATCGGTATTCAATTTCTTAGAATCCTTGAAAAGAGTGAGGTTGTAACCTTTGGCGAAAATGGATTTCAGGAATAAAGTGGAACCACTACATCTCAATTTACCCTGCGACAAAATACTAATTTTATCGCCGAGGAGATTCGCCTCATCCATGTAATGCGTGGTTAGCAATATAGTCCGACCTAATAGGGCCAAAAAATAAAACTCCTGACTTCTTAAGAAGAGAGCAAATATTAACTAAAATAAATTGCTAACCTCATAATAAATTGGTATAACTATCCATACATTATAAATAAAGTTGATAATAAAATAATGCTTAATTTATAGAACAGTGTGCGACAAGAAACCTTAAAGAAAACTAACCTCTTTTGAATTTTATCAAAATGTCCCATATACCATGTCTTGAAAAGGGGTCGACACCCGCGGTCGGTTCATCCAATATGATTATTTTGCTGTTCCCTACGAAAGCAATAGCTATGCACAATCTACGTTTCATTCCACCAGATATATCTTTAGCCATTCTAAATCTGTATTGCAGCATATCTATGACTTCCAGTATGGAAATTATTTCCTAAATATTGATTCACAGATATGCAGGAGATTAAATATGCAAATGAGAATTTAATAATTTCTAATATAATTTAATATATAAATATAGGTAATATAATCAGAGATAGAAAAATTGTATTATACAGTATAGATATAACTAATTGCTTTAATTTTTTTGGCCCCCAGAAATGGTCTCCAAAAATATTTACGGCTTTAAAAATAAAAAAAATATTAGTTATTAATTTCCATTTGTCATAAATCTAAATGAAAAAACAACAATTATAAAAATATTAGTTATATATAATTAATTAACCAAATTATGAATAAACAAGATTGTTCTTAAATATTAGTTTAAAAATATTTATTTAAATGAAGAAACAACAACTGATATACGCATTTTTTATTCCTTGTCAACACGACACTAGTGTTTCAAATCTATCAGTTTCTATAATGATTCTTCTCCACCTCTTCTTCTTGAATATGGTAAGTTCAGTATGAAACAACTGTTGTTTCAAGCTCCATTATAATCAGAAATAACCTTGGCAAGGTGTATCAAAACAAATAAAACTAGATAAATACATTTAACAAAGTTATCAAAATCCTTTCAAAAGACCTAGTATAGAGACGAGCTGATGCTGCCATTTGTTTTACTTATGGGAAATATTTGATAACAAGGGTGAAATTGCAGAAAAGATTTTGCAATTGGAATAGCTGTAAAGAAAGGGCTATTAAAACGTGCATCCTCAAAAGGCTATTTGAAATAGCAAGAGTGCTTGATAGAAATTGTAATGTAAAAAGGGCATGAAAGTTAGAGATCTGCAAATCATGGCCTGACCCGTATCTGGCACGAGCCCTGCTCGGGCAGAATGGGGTTCAGCCGGGTCTATGTTTAAAAATAAATTTGTTTCTGCTAATGATTGAGTTTGACACTTTGTCAAATTAATAAGAATCTTTAATATAGTGGATTCTAAAAATTGTTTTGACTATACAATTAATATATTAACAAATAAAAGATATGAAAAATCATTCGACTTCATAAAGATTAAGGCAGAAAATCTTATATCAAAATTTTATCTGACCCAAAATAAATTATAAAGAGTTCGTAAAACGCCTAAAAATGTTTATAATTTTTTGGCTGATACCAAATAAAAATTTGATTGTGAAAATTGGAGTTCTTTAAATGGAAATTAATATGAAATAATAAATTATTTTATTGAGGATTTTTTAGAACGATTTGATTTACTGAGGATGATTATATCCTTGTATACCTTTTTATAAACTGCCTATGATCCAAATTATTTTCTGCAAATAAATTGCCCCCCCCCCCCGCAATAGCATCCATATTAAACCTTAGTATAAATCTATTAAATCAAGAAATGAAAATAACAAAGAGATTATTAGAGGCCAAGTAGCAGAAAGACAATATTTTAAAAATATTATTAATTCTAATTAAAAATTTATATAAATTAACAACTATTATCAACATTGGTTTATCAATCTTGTGATGCCTCATTCTACACTCAAGAAGGTTAATCGAGCACTAGATAATGATGAGAGATAAACGAAAACAAAATTTAGTTCTAATGGATTGTAAAAACCATGCTTAGATTAAATAATAAAAATTAATAATTACAAATTTTCAATAAAAATAGCAAAAAATTTATAATAAGCATGAGTGTAGTATATGATTATTACAAAAAAAATTGATTCCCCCATTTCATTACGGGCATGCGGCTATTATTCTAAATAAAATGTTGTTTTTTTAAGCAACTATAATTATAAATTAAAATAAAATCTTATTATGTTTACCCCCTTTTAGTCTAAGTTGATTATTAACACCCGTTTCACTGTATAATAATTGACTTCTTAATACTTATTTAAAATGAAAAATTTTTATAAATTTTTGCAATATTAGCGGAAGCAGAATATAGTCAATTTTTTTATATTTTACATCAAATTTGATAAATATTTATTTTATTGTTAAAATTTAAAGTTTTTTTATGAAAAATAAAATAAATTTATTGTTAAATTTTTTCGACTAATTTATAATAAGATATTTAATAATAAAAACATGATTTTTCTATTAATAATCTAAATTTTTTATTTTCCAGAGAAATATATAACCATATCTTTATTTATATATTATTAGGAAACATTAGACATTTCTTACCATATTATTTCTTTTTTATTATTAGGAAGAATATTTACACAGGATAAACAAAATTTGGAATGATTTTGATCAATTTCTAAAAATGCAACTGAGGATGAATTTAGTTTTAATCAAGTTGGATTTTATACCCAATTATATAGTTGTCACTTAGCAGCACTAGATGTTCGGTGTAATATTTGCATTACCTAATGAAATAAAAAAAAATTAAAATAGGCCAAAAGAGAAGGCGTGGAAGAATGGCAAAAACTAAAAAGGCCATAGTCCTTCAATAAATTTTAACTATAGTTTTAAATAAAATTTATCCATTCTTTTTATTTTTGTAAAGGTGATTTACTGCCTATGCAAGTATTTTTGTGAATCATCATAAAATACATTTTAATAGATACACTTAAGAAATAAAATATATTCGATATTTTATCAAAATATTTTTAAATACAATTATGGAAGAATGTAGAAATGACAATGCTTAAATTTATTCTATGCAAAAATTACAAATTTAACCTTGTTTACTCTCCCCACAAATGAACCATTGAAAAGTTAAAAATTAAACGGATTGCAGCTAATGGAACTATAAATACACATTTTCACTTCTCATGGAAAAATTGTTACAATTTTAAAAATATCTATATTATAATTTTCCGATGTCCTCACTACGTCATCGTGACGTCATGTCATCGCTACGTCATGTCATCGCTACGTCATGTCATCGTTATGTCATGTCATCGGTACGTATTTTTATTTGTTGATTTTATTTATTTATTTTATACAGATTCTATAACTTAAGTTTTCTATGCAACTGTAGGAGGCCATATTAAAACCAATTGTCAAAGTAATACATTATTTACTAAATATTACAAATTTTTAATATTTTATATAGAAATTCAACTAGGAGTTTACTCATAGATTAATTGGTAAATCAGAGATTTCTCATTCATTTAAATTTAATATCTCTAGACTTGGGAAATTTTTTCAAAATTATTATGGGTTGGACTGGGCTTAAAAAATATTTCTCAAAATTAATATTGCCTTGGTTTTCAAAAATTATTAGGGATAGAAATGTGCTTGAGAAAATCTTTTTAAATTTTTAAGATCTTGGATGCCTGGAAATTTTTTTCCAAATATTGTAGGCTTGAACCTATATTGGGATTTAATGTTAAATGTTAGTCTTATGTTAATATTTTTATAAAGAAATATATTTTACCCGTAGACTAATTAATAATCAGAGATTTCCCCTTAATTAATTATAAATTTAATATCTCTGGGCTTGGTTTCAAAATTATTATGGGTTAGACTGGGCTTAAAAATATTTCTCAAAATTAATATAAGCTTGGTTTTCAAGATTATTAAGGATTGAGGTGGGCTTGAGAAAATCTTTTTAAATTATTAAGATCTTGGATGCTTGTTTTTTCCAAATATTGTAGGCTTGAACCTATATTGGGATTTTTTAATGTTAAATGTTAGTCTTATGTTAATATTTTTATAAAGAAATATCTTTTACCTGTAGACTAATTGGATAAGAGATTTCCCCTTCATTAATTATAAATTTAATATCTCTGGACTTGGGAAAATTATTTCAAAATTATTATGGGTTGGACTGGGCTTAAAAAATATATCATATTTATATTGGCTTGGTTTTCAAAATTATTAGGAATTGAGCTGGACTTGAGAAATTTTTTTTAAATTATTAAGATCTTGGATACTTGGAAATTTTTTCCAAATATTGTGGGCTTGAACCTATATTGAGATTTTTTAATGTTAAATGTTAGTCTTATGTTAATATTTTTATAAAGAAATATATTTTTCTTGTAGACTAATTGGTAAATCAGTGATTTTTCCTTCATTAATTATAAATTTAATATCTCTAGGCTTGGGAAAGTTTTTTCAAAATTATTATAGGTTGGACTGGGCTTAAAAATTATTTCTGAAAATTAATATTTGCTTGGTTTTCAAAATTATTAGGGATTGAAATAGGCTTGAGAAAATCTTTTTAAATTATTAAAATCTTGGATGCTTGGAAATTTTTTCGTATTTTTAAGGCTATTCATTTTGTCGGGCCGCAGATGAATATTTTGTCTAACTGAAAATTATACAAAGTACATTTTTAAAATTTAACTAAATTAATATAACAATTTTTAAGGAACTTTTTTAAAAGCTTACCATTTAGTTGGATTTACCATTGCTCTATTATTCCTGCTGATTATTTTGTATAATGCTCAAAAAAATATACATAGTACATTATTTTTATTATTATTATTATATATGATTTTACATCTATTCTAAAATCATTATATATTACAATATTCAATTAAAATTATATATTTATTCTTAAGGTTCCTACCTTTTTTAACAATTCTCCTTTTTATTCTTTCAATAAAAAATACTAAACGGGGTTTTCTATTTTTATGATTTTATATTTATTCCAAAAAAAATAATTACGGTATTATATATTATTTAAATTATTCTATACTTATTCACAAGGATCCTATTTTTTTTTTAAAGTTTGTCAATTGATCTCTCCGAATGGTATTTTATTTTATTCCTATCTTATAAAATTAACTTGAGAATTATTTTTTTTACTTTAGAAAACTATCCCCATCTTATTTCCTCTTTATAATTGTTCAAATATTGATATATCAGCCATTAATAAAGAACAAATGCAAAATAAACCTTTAGAATATCATAATAGGCTCGATAAGCCCCCCCCCCCCAAAGTTTTTGATGATATCCCTCCAACTACTAGATATATGCATTTATTGACCCATCTACTGGTTTACAGGTTTTAATGTTCGTTTTATTTCAATAATAATGTTTATTTATATTTTTGCCTGATTTCTTTATTTGTCTAAGCTAACCCAACCTTAATCCCTCACATTGCTACAAAACATGATGAATCTATTAAAGATAAGCAAAGAAAATAATGACGAATAAACAAACGCCTTGCCCGTTCTAGAGTTACTGGTAGCCAAAATAATAAAGAACTACGCTTGAAATTAACTCCTCTGGAGGTTTATTTTGTTTTTTTATCTTATGTTTTATATTTATATGTTTATTTTATTTTCACCCAGTTGCCTCCAAATATCACCACTACCACAATCCCTATGCCACCTCTCCCTATTTTTTAACAAATATAAGCATTCAATTCCGTACTATCATTCACTTTACTAGGAGTTATTATAAATATTACTTTATCCGATTCTCTGAGAAACTTTCATGATTATTTAGAGGAATGTTCAAACTTGAATGTGCAGTACGGCAATTTTCATCAACTTTATTAATGGAAAAATAAGCAGTAGTTCTGTCGTGGCCTTTATAACAATTCTTACTACCATCAGGATTTGTACACTGCTTTGGTAATCCGTCATTACTTTCATCTACAACCCTAAATGATATGAAATTGTACATTAATTATTTCCTCTCCAGACGACCTTCCAGATTTATTTTGTCGCTTTTCATCAGAAATAAAAATGTCAACAAGGATTTTTGCTTAATTTTATCAAATACACAACATAATAATTATTCCTCATTATTTTTTTAAAAAATTAGCCTAAATTTATATGTCAATAAAAAATATTTTCTTAAAAAATATATATATATATAATTTGTATAAGTTTCATTAGTGTTTAATGGCATTTTTGTAATTTAAGATAGCATTTTTTTTTTTACTTAACATAAAATTATAGACAAATAATTTGGGAAATGCAAGATATAAATTAAATTTATCCGAAAAGCTACAATAACCCTATATAATAAACAACAATTTATTTTTTATACATAATTTTAATTGATCATATTACCAAAAAGTATAAGAGTCGGATATTTTATTTTATTTGTCATGATTCTCTAATAAGTGGTTTGCCCAGGCCTTCCCAGTTTCCCTTAATACGGAATTCACATGTTTTTTTACATCTTAAACTAATTGGTAAATCAGATATTTCCCCTTCATGTGATGATAAATCAATTAAAAATGTAACTATCTCCAAGGTGGGAAAAAATTTTCAAAATTATATTGGATACGACTGGGCTTGGAACCTCAAAATTAATATTAGCTTGCACCTGACATGGGAATATCTTTTACAAATTATTAAGAGTTGAGCTGAGCTTGATAAACTTTATTATAATTATATGCTTCCTAATATTGTGAGCTTGGACCTGGCATGACATCTATCGTAAAAAAATGAATAAAAATCTCATTCCCCGTCATTTTTTACGGGCTTTTTACTTTAAATAGAATACCGATTTCTATAACTATCCTTTTTATTCAATTTTAATAATACTCCTGAATGAAGTTTGTTTGTATAAAAATATAGGTAATATGAAATAATTTCTTTTGTTCATTTAAGGATAAAAGTTCTGCTTCTTAGTGTGAATTATAAGGACGGCATCATGTATAATTATGGAATATTTAAATGCCTGTTATGTTTTAATAATGTCTAATTATAGAATAATGTAAAATGAAAGGGGATTATCTAATCTAAAGAGTTTATTTATGATCACCAGAAAAGAATTGCCAATATTTGAACCAAAGACCATGCTTGGGCCTGGTCTTATGACTATAGGTTATGCTAATTACAATTAAGCCCGAGGAATTACGTGAAAATAAATAAATAAAGGAAGACCCTGAAATAAATAAATGAGGAAATGTTAGAAGATAATAATAAACAGTGATTAAAAAGATTTAAATTTATTAACCTTTTCATTGATGTTTTTATCTAAGTTTTTGAGTTTGGCATAGAAATATAAATGTTCTTCCACAGTGAAATCATCTATTATTACATTGTATTGAGGGCATAGTCCAATTTGCCTTGATAAAATAAAACGATTCATTTTGTAAAATATAATTTTTTTTATACATTATTTTAAATTATTCTATAATGCTATTCTTCAATAAAAATGGTTTATTTTTTATTTTTTGAGATATTATCACTCAGTTTACTTAAAAATATAAACTTTTCAATGCATATTTTATATTATGAGATATGATGAACATCTTATAATTATAAAATTTCGGCTAAGAAGCAAATACAATAATGTTTTAAAGGAATTATAAATTAATATGTATAAATATAATATGTTTTTGGGTGATTTTTATACTCATTTTGTTAGTTATATACAAATTTTTTACTTAATTTGTATTATAACTTTATCTTACATATAATAATTTTTTAAATAATATAAAATTTCATGATTATGCCTTTTTTTTATAAAATCTATCTAAAATTAATTAATACAAATTAAAGAAAAATTTCACAGTGAACGTTAATTTATGATAGCGTGCTGGAATGCAAATGAACAATGATTAATTATTATGTTATTATGAATATATGTGATTTGAATAATAGTTTTGAACTAAATTGATTTTCGATAATATTTTTGAAAATTCAACTGGGGAAAATTTTGAAGGTCTTACATTTTTGGAGGACTTTTACTTACTATTACATTTTTGGAGGATTTTAGAATACTTTTACACGTATTCTATATATTTAACAAAATAAAAATGCCTTTCATCTATTATAAATTTTTTGGAAATAGCTTAAATTATATTTAAAATAAATATGGAACCATAAAAGGAAAATGTTTACTATTTTGGCTTGACATTTTCTAATATACTATACATCTTTAGCATTTGATCCCCTCCCCTTCCATTTTGCAGAGGACATTTATATATTATAATAATAAATAATATTTTTATGTGAAGCAAACTAGAATTTTAGATGGATAAACAAATAGTTATGAATGAGCCATTATAAATATCATATTTATAGTTAGGCAATAAAAATTTAATTAAAATGATTCTGGGAACATTCCAGCACTTTTAATGTTCCATAGTTTACTATAAATTCCGTTCAATGTTCTTGTTATTAATCAAAGAAATCTATATATATTGAATGATTATACCTAATTAATTTATTCTCTTTCTTAATATTATGACCGTACAATAATATATCTCCAGATGTTGGAGGTATTACTCCCACCATTATTGCGATGGCCGTAGATTTACCTGCCCCATTATGACCGAGTAGAACTGATATTTGATTTTCATAAAAACTCCCGTTCAAATTGTCCAAGGCCAATTTGTTATTGTAGATCTAGTTTAGAAATAAAAAATAAAAATGAATAATATTTATAAAATATTAAGACCCAATTAATAATTTAAATTGAGTGAGTAAGGGATCTAAAATAATATTTAGCCGATGAAAATCCACGCTTTTTCTACAGAATCATGTTATATTTGCAATATATTATATCTTTCATACTTTTCTGAAATCTTAATGATGTTTAAAATGAATCACTTTAAATTTAATATGGATCTATTTTTTTAAAATCTGTATAATGGGAATTGATAATGGCCACTATTTAGTATATTAATAGTCAACGTTCATATCTGCAACAGTTGCTATTCATTAATTTTATTTTTCAATTACAAATTTTCGAGTTGAAATAATTTAAAATATGCCTTTCATAGTTCACATATTGTAGGGGAGACTGGAGGTAGGTAAACCCCGGGGTTTGGAACCACTTAATTTCGTTTTAAAATTAAAAAGACTAGAATGTTAAAATATTATAGTTTTTATATGCATCTATAGACAAAAAATCTTTTGAAATAATTTACAAAAATTCTTTTAAGAAATAAAATTTTGAGATAAAATTCAAAAGATTATTACATGACAGAATTTTAATTTTTATTAAGTTATAAAATCATTTATATTATAAATTAAATTTTATAGCAAAGATTTAACCCTCATTAATAATTTAGAAAATTTTATGTGTATTATGTCTAGATATTATTTCAATCATGATTAGTAAATTTAGAACTAGCGGGACTTGCTAAACCATACATATCAATCCATTTGAATGATTTTTTTTAGTAATTATTACATTATTCGATATGGAGAAAATACAAATCCAACAAAATTAATAAGGGTCAATCATTTAATATTAATAATTATTTAGAAGTATATTAAAATTTGATAAATTAATATTATGATGTAATTAGGCTATTAAGGCATATGAAAATTTTAAATCCAAAAGGATCAGTAGCTAACTTACAGGTAAATTTATCTACATTATCTGCCTTATTTTTAAGATCTAAATCACAATAATTATATGTAATTTTTTAAACATATATCGATTTTTAGCAATATCTAATAATAAAAATTATGTAAATATTTTTATTAAATGTAATTTGTATTGTTCTTATATTATAGATTGATCAAAATTATGATGAATTGTAGTATTTTTATATCAATTTTATGTAATTTTCAAACAATAAAATCAAATTATAGCAATATTTAATAATAGAGATTATGTAAATAATACTTTTAAATGTAATTTGTAAATTATATGCTCGTATATTTTAGATTGATTAAATTATGCTGAAGTATAGTATTATATTAATTTTATGTAATTTTAAATATAAAAATCAAATTTTACCAATATTTAATAATAGATTATGTAGATAAAAATCTAAATGGTAATTGTAAAGAGATTAAAATATTGTTTTAAATTTTATGTTATTATATTTTAAAGTTATAATTAAATCATCTAATATTTTATTTGACATTTTTATTTTAGGTATTCCTAGGATCAAATTTTATGAGATATTACACAAGATATCAAGGAAGTGTCACCCTTAATAGTGTAGGACAAAATAATAAATAGAATATTCACAGAGGGAGAAGAGGGAAATATACTAAATATCTGATCCAACCTAGCCAAATTTTTATGGCCTTTCAATTAAAAAGGTATAAATTTATTCTTCATTATTTTATACATTGTTTTTTAGGAAAAAGTATATGCTTACCACATGGCAGTAAATATGAGAAAAATTTCCTAAATCTTGAAAGGACAATTCAATGGCTGGCCATGACAGTTACTTAAGATTTATGTTATGGAATCCTGCTCTCTTCTTACGGTCCTCTGAGGCTACTAGTATGGCTAGGACAACTGAATTTAATGAAGAAAATGTTATATACTTTTTTATTTTATATAAAGGTTATTAAATGATTATGTTATGTTAAGTAAATGTTTTACATTATATTAGATGAACATAAGTTAGAATGTATGGCAATTTACGACATGGACGAAACTGGATTTACCAGGGTTCACATCCGAGATAATTGCACAAAAGGGTCAAAAATAAGTATGATCCATGATTTCCATGGTAGGGGTACCTTAATTACATTATCTCCTGCTGTAAATGCATTTGGCCAAACAATTTCTCCAATGTTTATTTTTCCTAGAAAAAAATATTATGACTATTTTGTTAAAATGGTCCATCTTGCTTTATAGGTGTATCAAATGGTTCAGGATGGATGCAAGAAGAGGATTTTATTATTTTTTGAAACATTTTTTTAAACACACTCGGTGTACTCTAGTGTTGCATTTTATTGATGGTTTAGAAAGACGAATTTTATTTTTTTTCAAGAGTTTTCCATATATATTCAAGAAAGAAGATTGAATTTCCTCAGTTTATGGGGATTCTATATGTGAACTTCCTAAAAAGCCAATATTAGAATAAAGCTCAATTTTTTAGGTATTAAAAGATATTTTAAATATTAATAGAACCTTAGATATAAGTAATGAAGCTCCATCATCCTATTATGTTCATTTAGATGATATTCCTGGTCCATTCAGCAATTTATTATTATCCTCGTTTTATCCCAAAAATGAAGGGTCTAAATATTTACATCCTCTCCCTATAAAAAGAAATTCATCGAGAAAGAAAAAAAATTGTTAGAAAAAGGAAATATTTCCAAGAAAAAAATAGGAAAAAAAATTATTCACAAAGATATTTGTATTTGTTGTAAGCTGGAATAAATAAAACATCATAACGGCGAAGAGTGGTACAAATGCAGAATGTGCCAAGGATGGGCACATGCTACATGTTCAAACTTCGATAAATTTATAGGTCTAAAATGTATAAACTAACCAAAGTTAAATTTCAATTTTTATATAATTAGCTTCAATTTATAAGTATTATGATATTTTAACAATAAAACCATAAAATTATTCTATAAGTATAATTATTAATAAATTAAAATGCATTTCAATTCATTATGGTGTAAAAAAACAATTTTAGAAAGCCCATTGAAATAATTTACCTAACCCCGCTATTGGGGCTTGTTGGACAAAATATCCACTTTTACAAAAAAATAAAAATTTCAAAAAAAAATGATTATATTCCTAAAATTTTTTATAAGACACTTTATAGAGTATAGTTTTATATATCTAATTATATATATTTTTTTAATATTATCTAAAAAAAACTATGAGCTATAGCCAATTTTGTAAAAATCGGTTCGACTAACCCCAGTCTCCCTACTATAGGTTGCGTTCGGAACCTGTTTCAAAAAATCAAATGTTTTTAAACTTATGGAAACTAATAATAAATATATTTTGACTTTTTTTTTTATAAAATAAGGCATATTTCTGTTGTTTACTTATATTTTTGCTACAAAATAACTAACTAGTTACATTTGAAAAATGCTAATTAGTAATTGTAACTAGTTATATTTTTTAACTGCCAAAAGTAAAGTTACTTTTTAAAATATTTTTTCCATATATCTTAATAAATATACTCAAATAATTAATTTTATTTTAAAATTTTTATAATAATTTTATTTTAAATAAAATTTATCAATTTAAAATTTTGAATAAATGTCTGATTCTATATGTGCGACTTTTTTATATTTAATATTGATCATTATCAGAGCAATATCAGACAGATGTAATTCTGACTAACTCGTCAACTCGTCATTGATGAAAATGACATTCAAATGATTCAGAATGGCGAAATAAAATCGTACCACCCCTTTCTAAAAGTATTAACAAACAACTGACTAACATGTAGAAATACCTTGGCCAAGTTAAGAAATTTGGAATTTATTATATAAATAATTGCTCCAATTGGTGTATATTCCATTTATCTAAAAATTTTGTTTATCCGGCCGCCAGATCCAATATTTAAAAATTACCCATTGTTTTAAAGATATTCTTTAATCTGCCCGCTCACCCACCCAATATTTAGAATCTTTTAGTCCGCCCGTCTCTCTAGTTGAGCTGCACAATCAAAATATTTATATTCGCATCAGTCAAATTACATCTATATAGAGTAAAATCAATGTTGAAAAACATCTCTTTACATTAAGACAATTTATATTCGTGGAGATCATTCTAATTTTGCAAATAGTCTAAGATATTATTAATTAACTAACATATTTTTAACTTTCTCTGATCGGTCCAATAGATTTTGGTTATGCCATCTTTTTAAAGAAAACTTTCTAATAAATCATCTTCAAACGAAGTCCATTAATGTATTTTCAAGAATCTTCCACTATTCTTATAACTTTTCATTTCGAATTATTATTTATAATACTGTATGTAAATAATTCATATATTGGATTTGATTTATTACTAGGCATCGTTTATAAAATTTATATATGAAAAGGAAATAAAATTGTAACAATAATCTTAAAAACAATTTGCTTATAAATTAGAATTTTAACAATATACTAATAATAACTTTTACATTATTTTATAAGCATAAAAACTTGAGGTTTGAACAGGTTCACAGACATTTTTAATTGGTCGGTTCAGGTTCGGATACAAAATTATTTAATAGGTTTGGTTCAGGTCGACAAAAAATACTGGTCAATACCGATTTAAAGGTTTGGTTGAATTCCTGTTTAAAAATACATAATATAATGAGTCAATTGTATATATTTAACTATAAATCAAGAAAGAAACATAAACTTTGACGAGGTTTCTCATCTCTATGCCTTTAATCAGATTGAGGGATTCGGGTTCAAAGTGGGGATCGTTGGGTATATCAATAATCGTTTTATCCTTATAATCTTCTCCTGATTGATCGTCGTCATTTCTCATATAAAAATGGTCCCTTAACTTGTAAAAGGTGTTGAATAAAGAAATAATAGGATAGTACCAGGGCTTAGGGACTCCATAAGCACCTGGCTTGACCGATTCTATATATATAGCCAGAGTGTAGTAAATCACTGAATCGACTATGAGCATAAGCATGCAATAACCAATGCTAAATTGGCTGTGATTTTCATGTGAATCTAGGTGCAGGTTTTCCCATTGGATACCTTCGTATGCCATTTCCCATCTGGCAATTTGGAGAATGCTGGCTGACATGGCTACATTTGAAAGAAGGCACTTGATAAATAAAGACAAATTTGTTTAGCATAATAATTGCAAAAAAAAATATAATTTCTCCTTATACTCTTAAGCTACTTTAAAAACTAATAGCGATGTGAAATAGACAACTCTATTTTAATCTATTTAAAAAAAACTCATTAAAGTGCAATTTATGTTAATATCGCAGCAGTATATTTTTATAAATATTTAGCAGTTACGAAATGTACTTCCATTTTAATAATAAAGCTTCTAACTATATATTATGTTTCTCTTTTAATATAATGATTTAATATACTTTTTATATTATACGTTACCCTAATCTTAATACTTCATTGTACAGGTGGAAAAAACAAGAAACTATGTAGGGTTCATGCCAACCCGAAATAGATAATACTATATTTCGGAATCAAATTAATAATAATATGAAATAAGCTCTTATTTAGAAATTTTAACTGTTATTTTGAGATTTTAGAGTAATTTCTAAATTTTTTAATGTTTTTGCTAAGAGTGTCATAATTAACTAATACTAGTATATAATGCCACTCCAACGAAGACTAAAAAATAGATAAAATATAATTTTTGAACAATAAATATAATGTATAAAAGAATGAAGAATATCAAAAAATCATCATCTTTTCTGTACAATAATATATTTTAAATTATTGCACTAATATATAAATTTTTATCACTTTTTTAAGGCAAAATTCCTAGCGCCCCTGACCAGATTTTTAAAAAATGTTTTAATTAAAAGTTTTTTATCTAAATAAAATATAGAATCATTTTTCATATTATATTTTTGGTTATAAAGGAAAATAAGTTAATCAAAATTTAAAAAGGGATATAGAAATTTAGTTATATTTACTTAAATAAAATAAATAATTGAGCGAATAAAAATTAATCATTCATAATCATTTCTTTTTTTTTCAAGTACCACTTTTATTATATTATGATAATTTAAAAAATATAAATATAAATAATGGTAATTATATAAAAAGAAGAGTGAGTTGAGTACAACTATAAGTTCCCAAACAAGAATAATAAATTTTATTTTAAAATAATAGTTTACATTTTTTATTGTTAATTCTTGACGTAAACCAATGTCATATAATAAAAAATATATTATCTTGTTTTCACAAATCATTATGAGATTAATTTTTTAGCGATTACTCCAAATTAATTGTGATTTTTATCATGTTAAACCACGTGCAAATTAATATTTACCACATCATTAGAAATACTTGCCATATCATAATCGACCACTTTAAGAAAGTGTAAATTTTAATCATTATTTAAAATTTTATTTTTTTAAATATTGCAATTTTTTGGTTATCAAAAAATTTTCTAGGTTAAAATTAGAGCAACTGATGTGAACTAACATTAATGGGATAGCTATTAACAAAAATGTAGACCTTATTGCCCGGCTTAAACTAAACTGACCCCTGAATATTTTCTGTCCGAGCCTATAATTTTTAGCCTGACATGAATAATATTTTGCTTCTAATTTTTTTTATCCTAGCTCGGTCCGTAATTTATTTTTGTAAAGAAAAATCTGGCATTATTCTAGGCCTGAAAAATATTGTTGAAATTGTCATGTCCGAAAATATATTTTATTTTGTTCTACCCAAGTGGGCTTTGATGACAGGGACGGGTTGGCCATAAGGGTAGGTATTACCTATTGGGTCTGGACAAAATAAGATAATTTGAGGGGCCGATAAAAATACATATAATTTCTGGACGATTGAAGAAAATATATTCAAAATCCATGATTATCAAAATATTTATTATATTTTATATACTATACAGACCAAAATAATTTAATCGAAAACTTCTCATAACATAGGAATTGCATTTGTAAATTTTAATTTTGTTTCGGACCAAGCCATAATGCCCTACCTTATATATATAATGCAAATATAACCAAAAGACTTTTCGCATTAAATAAATAACTAATTCATCCGGGAAAAAATTATGATTTAGTTCTTGATTGTTTTGATAAAACATTGCATCCAATTCAAAAATATATCATTTAAGGTGGCCGCAAATATGCGCAGTGAATTTAAAGGATTACAAGCTCATATTAATCAAGAAGTTCCTATTAGTGTGTGTGTATATAGTTAAATCCTTATATGTCTATGATTCCTGTGTAATTTTTAAGCTAAGAATTTATTTGGACTTCTTAAAAGACTTGCATCATTTTTTGGAGAATCTTATTTTCTAGTTGGTCTGGACCAGGTTTGGGTTAAAAAAAATTTTTTTAAATGGGCTTGGGACTATAATTATTAAATTTAGCTTATTTAAAACAGTTGCTAACTTAAAGAAACTTAAAGAAATATTGCCATTTTTTTCTTCTAATTTTTTATATTAGATATGGGCCTGGCCAAGCTTGGACTTAAAAAAATATTTACGGCTGGTCTGGGCTCGGTTTGGTCAAAAAATTAAAGCCCATGAAGGTCTCTAATTTTTACAATTACCAAATTAACAATCTCTAATTTGAATTTCAATTTGCAATATTTTATATGTAAAATATGATATGTATATGAATTTTATGTTTAATATAATAAGTATGATTAAATAAAATGTAATTATCTTAAGATAAAATTAGGGGTGTACCGATACCACTTTTTAGAGGCCGATCCGATCCGATATTCCCGATATTAAATTGATATCGGCCGATTACCAATCCAATATTATATCTAATTTTGTATTCTGTAAAGAACCATAACTTATATCATTTAAATATATTATAACGATCAGTTATAGTTTATATTCAATTGCAATTCTAAAAGTATATAAAATATTTTTATTGCTAAATTACTTTTATATAATAAGTAATAACATTAATCTATATACATAATAAGTAGTGATGTTAAGGTGATTTTGGCTAAAAAATAACTGTAACTAGTTATATTTTTAAAATTGTAACTAGTAACTGTAAATAGTTATAATTTTTGAAATGTAACTGCCTAAAGTAACTAGTTACTTTTAACGATATATTCAAATAATTAATTTTATTTTTAATATTTGTGATAAATTAATTTTAAATTAAATTTATTAATTTAATATTTTGTGAAAATGTCTGATTGTTATAATTTCCCGTTCAAATTGATTTTCTTTTCTTAAATTGTTACATTGCTGCTGGGCTTCATAATTTTGTAAGGAAATTCAAGTAATTTAATAAATTTTAATATTATATTTATTTACAAATGTAGCACAATATATTTTTTTCCGTCAAGTAACGAGCATTGGAACTTCATATCATACGTAATAAAAAAAAATTTTTAGTATAAGGAAAAACAAAGACAGATTATTTTAGAATTTAATATTAAATTATTAATCATTACTTACAAGAACCATGTCTAACAAAAGCATAAGAACATGACTCAAATTTAAAAAAATGATTGCTTTCTGAAATTTATTTTTTGGTCTAGCCTGAATTTTATTTATATTCAAATTATATATAAAATAGACACATTTTAGAACTGTATGTTTCACTCTAATTGATTATTCTATTCCTAATTTAGATAGTGCTATTTATATTTATCTCCTAGATGGAAGAAACAGAATACAATATGGATATGGATTCTGAGTCAGATGAAGAAATTATACTTTCTCCTACAATAATTGCAAAAAAAAATGACCTTCCTTGGCCAAGTTTTGAAAAATATTTTGAATACCACAAGGCTGGTAATAATACTAATATTATTGTCAAATGCCTCTTATGCCTACCATATAAAAAGTATATTGCAGCATCTAAGTCATCCACAGCTAATTTATGGAAACATATCTCTGTAAGTTTATATAAATTGTATTAATATTATATAGAATAATTAAATGAATTAACTTTATAACAATAATTAATATTAATTAAATATTTATATATATAAAACATATATCTATAGAGAAAGCATCCTAACCAATCCATAAATATAAAACAAACCATAGATAATAAAAAAAACAAAACTAAACTTGACTTTGGTGGAAAATCAAATTTTAAAGGTATCAGCAAAGATAAATTTGATTCACAAATTATTAAATATATAATAAATGGAAATCACCCATATACAACCTGTGATGATGAAGATTTTGTTGAGCTGATAAACACCCTGCAACCTAATATGAAGATTATATGCAGACAAACCTTAACCTCAAGAATATCAAAATATTTTGTTCAAATGAAAGATATTCTAATAGAAAAATTGTTAGAGCCTAATTATGTTTGTACAACAGCTGACTGCTGGACAGCATTTAATCGGTAAATATTATTTTTTACTAAAGTGCACAATACATTTGGTTATCTTTTGTTATATTAATAATAGCTCCTATATTGGTATAACAGTGCATTGGATTGATGTGGAGAAATTGGAAAGGCGTTCAGCTATTCTAGCCTGCCAAAGACTACAAGGTAGGCATACATATGATGTGATCAGCAAAGCCTTAACTGCTGTTTTTAAGGAGTTCCATATCCAAAATAAAAATATCTGCACAATAACGGATAATGCTAGCAACTTTTCAAAGGCGTTTAGGTATGCCTAACTAATTTACTTTATAACTTATTTCTATTAGAGTATTTAGCTGCCCATCTATTATAATGGAGGAAGATTCTGTTTCTGATATTGAATATATCTCAATAGAAGATATAATGTCTTCTTCTGGGCTCTCCAGTTATGATATTAATGACTTCGACTACCTTCCCAAGCATCGAAGATGTTCTTGCCATACATTAAACTTAGTGGCAACACAAGATGCCAACAAGTTACTTTTAAACAATGAGGGGTATAGGAAAGTTTATAACTTAGCTATATCTAAATGCCAACGTTTGTGGAACCTCCAAAATAAATCTGGGCCATCTGCCGAACTTATTTTAAAAAAATTACATTCTCAACTCCCATATCCCGTTATAACAAGGTGGGGTTCCTTTTATAAATCCCTGGCCAAAATATTATCGTTCTTAAATCAAGTGCCTGTGGAATTTGATTCATTATGTGATGAATTAAAATTGTGTAGATTCACATCAGATGATCGTGATTTTATAAAAGAATATTGTAGTGTAAATTTAAATTAAAGTCTTATAAAAATTTACAATTTAAAAATTAGATTATGCGACCAGTGTCCAAAGCCATTGATATTCTTGAAGGTGAAAAGTACATGTATCTGGGTTATTATACCCCAACAATAACACAAATAATTATATGTATGGCAGATGTGCAGGTATTAAAATATTGTCAACCTCTAAAGGATACTATATTAGCTAGTATTGAAAAAAGGTAACTTAAATCAAATAATTATTTATAAATTAATAATATCATGTTATAGGTTTAATAATCTTTATGATAATGACAACATCATTGCTTCAATTCTTTACCCTTTATTTAAAACTGACTGGCCTTGGATTAGGCAAGAAAGGAATAAAGCAAAAAAGGAGGAAATTTTAAATTTAATAAATACCTTAATACCTCAGAGTGAATCCCAGACGAATGAATCATGCTCAAAACCAACATCACTTGATGTAGTTGGATTTTTTGACCTAAAGCGCCAAAATATTCTGGATAATGAACTTATAGAAAACTTTATCAAATCTAATAACAACACGTTTTCTTTATATAACGATTTTCCAAAGTTAAAATTACTCTTTATTAAATATAATGTTGTTCTAACATCAAGTGCTCCCGTAGAGCGCTTGTTCAGTCTAGGTAAGCTCATATTTGGAGATAAACGAGCACGTCTTCTAGATAATAACTTTGAAATTAATTTGTTGTTAAAAGCAAATAAACATTTATTAGATTCTAATTTTTATGAAAAATAAATGTTTTTTTTTCAATGCAAATATATATTTTTGTATTCGATGTAAATATTCAATTTTGCGATATTTTTTATATAAATAAATTGTATATTATTTAATAACTGATTATACTTTGTTTTTTTTATATTAAATAAATGTCAATAAATAAATAATGCGCATATGAATGATGTATAAAGTAAGTAACTAGTTACTTTTGAAAATAACTGTAACTAATAACTAGTTACTTTTGTAAAAATGTAACTAGTAACTGTAACTAGTTATGTTTTTGCCAATGTAACTAGTAACTGTAACTAGTTATGTTTCAAAAGTAACTTTTAACATCACTAATAATAAGTAATAAACAAATATATATGAAATTTGAAATAAATATTTCAAATAATATTTAACAATAATATATCGAAGATTTCTTTTCCAATTTATCATAGGTCAACTGCGGCGATAAAAACTGTCAATATCACCACTTCACTAAAAACAGATTCTGAAGAGATTATCGCACACTTTTATAAACAGAATGCGCAAAAAAATAACAATATGGCAGAATGTTTAATAATTAATTATTATTATTAAAAAAATAAACAAAAATGGATTTCGATTTTATTTATAAAAATAAATGATTTAGATATAACTTTCTTAAAAAAATTTATAACATTTTATTTTTATTAAAAACGCCATTTTTTATCGGATCGGAAAATTTTATAATATTTGCCAATAACCGATATTTTAAAATGGTTGATATATAGGCCCGATCCGATAAAAAATATCGGTACATCTAGATAAAATATTATATACAAAGTTTTTTAATTTATTAAAATCATTGCAATAATTATCGTAACATGTCAAGTTTTCTCAAAAAAGATATTTAAAATATTTAAAAAGAATAGGCCGGCGACCCAGCCGAAGGCCAAGCCAAAGCGGGCTAAAAATCTGCAAATAGAAGTAGGGAGCGAAGCCCCCATAAAGATGAGGCCTCTGAGATTTGTCCATGAGGCCGAAACATCCCCAATCCGCCCCTGCTTACAAATCTCTGATAACTTTCCTTATACTCTAATATTGAGAATTTTTTACCTCTTAATATCCTGAAGCCTTATTAAACCATTTGTTAGTGATAAAATATTTTTTATTGTTTAATAATCATTTGGGGCTTATATTTTGTGATTTAATAGTTATAATATAAGGTAAAACATTATTGCCATTGAGCAGGATTGATAAATGAATTACCAATTCACTCTTAATTCAAATAAAATATTAAAATGTCAAAACATAAAAAATATATAAGAACACAAATTATTGATCCTTGATAAAAATATATTTATTATTATCTTTAGAGAATAATTACTAATACACTTTGTTTTCTTAGTTTTTAGGGAAAAGGGTAGGGTTAAAATTGGAGACGCCCCGATAATTTTAATAAAATACAATTATGATAATTAACCTTCATTAATAAAAAAAAATTTTTTAAATCTACATGAGTTATGAAATTATTGTCAAAAATTTTTTTAACAATGATTTTTTTGGGCGGTATTTTTATTATTATTAAAAAATTATTATTTTGGACAGTATTTATAAATTTTTGTACAGTAAATTAATCAAAATGGGCAGTATTTTATCTTAATAAAAAAACATTTGAAAATTAAATAGACTATAAGGTTTAAATTTTAATACATCTTTTATTAGTATGTTTCTTTTTTAAGGTAAAAAATCTTTAGAAATAATCATTATTTAAATAAAATTTTGATATAAAAATTTAATTATGACAGAATTGTTAAGTTATATAATCATTTATATGTAAATTAGATTTTATAACAAAGATTTAACCTAATAATTTGTTAAAGTTTTATGAGTATTTATTTCATCTAGATTATATTTCAATTAGAGATCTGCAAAGTTAGGCCCGGCCCGTACCTGGCCTGACGGGCTGGGCCAGACTCGGGCCTAATTCTATTAAAAATAATCGGGTTCGGGCGGGTCGGGCCTAATATTTTTAAAAAATGTTCGGGCGGGCCGGGCCTAATATTTTTAAAAAATAATTTTTTTTAAATATATCGAAATTTATCAATTTTATATTGAATTTTTTATGTAAAATAAAAAATTTTGATTTTATTTATTGAAACTAAACGCCATATAACATATGTCTTTTATTTTGAGTAATTATAAAAAATTAATTTCTATATTTAAATAAATTCGGGCCGGTAAATTATTTTAAAAAAAAATTCGGGTCCGGGCCAGGCCGGCAAACTTATTTAAAAAAATTTCGGTTTCAGGCTTGGAAAATTAGGCCCGATGCAGATCACTAATTTCAATCATGATTTGTCAATTTAGAGCTAGCGGGGCCTGCTAAACCATACAGCGTCAATTATGGCAGTCAATAATGAAAAATTTAAAATCTTGGAAAAACAATTTCATCTCTGTTTATGATTGGTATTTAGAATTTATGTTATGATATCATAATATCACCTTAAGATCCTTATTTTTATATATCCAAAATGTTAATTAAGTTAATCAAAATTAAGTTTTAATAAAATAATAAAAATATTTTATACGTATTTATTATTAATAAAAAAAAATTTTCTAATCATTATAGCATAAAAAACTAATAGTTTAGGAAGCACCTTGTATCGTTACCTAACCCGCTATTGGGGTTTGTTGGGCAAAATTTCACCTTATGCAAAAAGATAAAATTTGAAAAATATGATTATATTTTTATAAATGTTAATAAGGCACCTTTATAGAGTATATAGTTATAGGTATCGATTCATATATTATTCTTAATAATATTTTAAAAAAACTTAGGAGTTATATCTTTTTTTCAAAAATTGGTTCTACTGCCAGTCTCTACTACTGGCCTTAAATAATTCATATTACTTCTAATTTATGATAAAAAAACTCCAGAATAATTTTTATCAACTTTTTTATATTTCTTTTTTACTTACTATTTGCATTATGTAAGATTTCAAAAACTAAAAATTAATCAATAAAAATCGAGAATTTTTCTTTTTTTACTACATTATTTTTAGATAAATTGTTCGATAAAATTTAGTCATGATATAAATTGGGTGAAAGTTTAAAGCCTGATTTGGGCTAGTGGATTTATTGATGCATATGGGATGACGAGGCGATGATTAATATTACGTTTAAAAAAATTAATTTCACTTAAATAAAAATATACAATGATATTAAATTAGGTATAACGTATAAGTGGCAATTTTTAATATTTTACAATCTCTTATATGGTTTTATAAATATGATACTAAAATGAATATTAATATGAAATTTCCCATCTAATTAATATTTTTAAAACTTATTATTTCATCTTATAACTGATATTCAACTCAAAAAAAAGTAATAATCGCAAAAAAATCTAACAAAAATATTTTTTAAGTCATGGGCGAAGCCTATATTTTATTAATAATGCTACGCCCCACCCAGCTGTATCCCACCTGTGCTATGAAGGCTAATATTGAAACGTGTAAAAAAGTTAAAATTGAAACTTGTAAAAAAAAGCCTGTTTTATCAAAATGACAACTTACATATAATAGTTTATTTGTTAAAGACAACAAACTTTCGAATTTGAAAAAATAACTGAACGGCAAATATGTCAGGAAATAGGCGATGGCTCCAACGGCGGCCGCTATTATAGCTCTGGAAAAAAAACTGCTTATAAGAAACGAAAAACAGATGATGGATATATTGAAGAGAGTTGTTAAGACCAGCAAAGCTAGCTTGTTGGAGTAAGTAAAAATCCCACCATAAACCAGCAGTAAAACCATGATAATGGTAGATATCTCCATGATGAACAAACTGGAAACCATCCAGGCAAATCTATATATGCTGAACTTCATACCCATAATTCGAAAGTATTCCTTCAACCGAATTTCTTTTTCGTATACTAAATTTTTTATCAACATAGCTGCACTGTAGTTCCAGGAAATGCATATAATTAAAGGCAGCAGTCTTGTTACCGAACGCAGAAACCTTTACGAGATATAAAAATTATTATATAATTGCTAATATTAAATTAAAATTAACAGATATAAATAATTATATGAATATTAATAGTAAATAAACTTATAAAATAGTATTATTAAAGTTACTAAAACAACTATTCAGACACGTAGTCAGTAGAGAGGGGGAGAAGACACTTCTTAGTGAATGGCAAAATGGTCTGAAAAACCTTTCATTTAAAAGAAAACTCCTTATTGAATTCGATATTTTTTTGTATTAGAAATCTAGAATGTATCGATAAATAATTAAATCACACTAGTAATTTATAAAATTTCATTCAAAAAAAAACTTTTTCTAGTGTTTTCATAACCTCAATTTAGCTTTGATAAGCCTTGAGATTTTTCTAAAGAAGGTCAAAAATTTCTACCAACTATTAGCGAAATCTCTTAGGGAAAATTTTTTTAGCTAAAAATATTAATTTATCGGGTTAATGTGTTAAAATTGATTTTTTTTTAACTAGTGTTGTTAAACGGCTCGATTTGAGCCGAATTAGAAAAATGGCTAACTCAATATTTTTTCTAGAAAAATTTTACTCAAGCCTGAAGATTTTGCTCACAAATGGGGCAAAGGCTTTAACATCTATTAGCGAAATCGCGAGACGTGACTATATTTTCCCCGAAAGAAATATTCTGTTAACCGTTTTTAAAAATCGGCTGAAATCGAGCCTTTTAACAACATTATTTTTAACAACAATACCTATTTGGATAAATTTTAAATTAAGTAAATGAGAAATTTTCGATTCATCATACATTCCTTCCAAAACATGAATTTTTACCTAATATATTAAAATTATTATATTGTATCCATTAGCATTTTCAAAAATAATTGACATTTTCTGTTGAGAAGAATAAAAAGGTATATTTAGGAAATAAATTGAATGAGTTATTTTATACAGTCAGTCTCAGTGCAAAATCATCTAACATTTTAAAAATTCTGAAGGAGAGACAAAATCAAATTTAAATATTAATGATAAATTTTAATCTTATATAATACCTATAAATAAACATACCTATACCATTATCAAACATTCACTAAGCAATTATAAAAGTTATAGTATTGGAATTATATACATATTTTTGACAAATTTTTAAATAAGGATAAATTAGAAGTTATAAGTAATAATAAAATGAGCTTATAAAATATATGAAAACATTATTATATAAAATTATTAACTTTGACTTATGTTTCTTTCAAATTATTGTTTATAAAGATATTTTGTACACATTTTTTTTTGAGGGGGGAGGGGGGGGGGTGTAGGGATTTTACTAGCCTAAAATGATATTCACGAGATGAAGCAAATTTCCGAAGAGGGGATTTTTATTTGCCACCCATTGGCTAAATGAATAAACCCGAAAATATATACAAAAGTGTTATTTAATAGTGTTAATTTATTATAAATACTGATTTTTCACTAATATTTTATACTTTACTGATGTTATTTATTTTTATTTTATATAAAATAATCTTTGTTTGGAAAAGTAAAAAAAGATTTATTAAAAATATAAAGTTTAGTTAAAAAAAAATAATTGCTGAAAATTGAATAAAGTGTACAAAAGATCTTCTTTGAAGATTTTTGAGCATGATCTAGCTCAAAAATTTGAACAAGATCTTTGAAGATCGTAAAATTTGATCTTTTATTTTTAAAAAATTTTGAGCAGCGATCTTCAAATATCTTTTATTTAAAAAATTTTTAGACCAACGATTTTCAAAGATCTTCATATTTTAAATGTTATAGTAAATTATTATTTTTATGATATTATTTTTTGAAGTAAATGGGTTAGTAAGAATGTTAAATTAAAATAAAAATTCAATAAGATGTACCGACAATTTTCATAATCGTTATTTTTTTTAAAACTTTTTTTGACATATATGGGTAAAAATTTATATTAAAATTTCAATGAAGATGTAATGTAACACATAAAAACATGTTAAATTAAAATTTCAGTGAAGATCAGGAAAGTGACAATTGTCATAATCGTTATTTTTGAACTTTTTTGATTTTTTTTAAAAAATGGATAAAAATAGATATTGGTAACATATTAAATTAAAATTTCAGTGAAGCTGTACTACAGGAAAGTGACAATTGTCATAATCGTTATTATTGAACCTTTTTGAATTTTTTTAAGGCAAATGGGTAAAAATAGAAATTGTTAACATGTTAAATAAAAATTTCAGTGAAGACGTACTACAGGAAAGTGACAATTGTCATAATTGTTATTTTTTAACTTTTATGAATTTTTTTATGGCAAATGGGTAAAAATAGATATTGTTAACATGTTAAATTAAAATTTCAGTGAAGATGTACCTCAGGAAAGTGACATGTCTAATCGTTATTTTTGAACTTTTTTGATATTTTTTTATATATAACATAGAAAACTGACAATTGTCATATGTAATATTTTTAAACTTTTTTAAAATTTAAACAAGGATAAAATAAAGATATTTTGAAAATTATTTATTATTTCAAAATTATTGAAAATATATATTGTTAACCAGGTTTATTGTTAGAACGGTCCTACCCCATCCACTTTTAAAAAATTACCCTCCTCAATCTAATTTTTTTTAATAAAAAATATTGGCTCATCATGTTTCTTAAATCTTTGATGGCTTTAGATTATAAAATATTAAAAAATGGTGCCTTCTAATTTCTATAATTTGAGCGTTATTTAAGTAAAAGTCGTGCTTTTACAATTTACGACATTAAATAGCAAGCCTTTGCGAGCTATAAGGCATAGGTCAAATTTATATTACGAGTCCAGATTTTTTAAATATATTTATGGATTGTCAAATTCTTGGTTTTGACGAAATAATAAACCTGACCTAACTTATTCAATTGGTAGATCTAGTTTTTTTTATTTTACTCTATCAATTCGAGTCACGAAAAGGCTGTTTTAATTATGAATATTTATTGTAAACCTAGCAAATATTTCAATATTAACATCGAAATATTTCTCCTTTTAAAATTCAACCCATACTTTTTGAATTAAATTTTATTTAAAAAATGATGTCTTCTAACTTATAATTTGAGCGCTATTTAACATTAAGTAAAAGTCATACTTTTACTATACAATGACATAAAATATTAGCGCACTACCAATTTTTTATATAAAAATTTTTCATATTATTATTACATGTGTTAGTGAAGTGAGTGTGATGGGAGATTTCTTATAAATTTTAAGAGTAAGGCCATTAATTTTTTTAAGGGTAAATTCTCTCTATATTTCAATAGTTGCTGATATAATATGTTATCAAAAGTTTATAGCAAATAATAAATTTTTTTATATGGTAAAATTAATAAAGGTAAAAAAATATAAAAATATAATTTGCGAAAGGGTAAGGGATAAAAGAATGGAAACTAGGAAAGAGAAGGGAGAGAGAGAGCATAGACATAGGAGATTATTCAATGGAAGAGATGAAACTTAGGTAGTTAGAGCGAATGATGGCGGTAGCAAGTCTTTGTCGTAAAAAAGGGACTATGTAGGCTGATCGGTTTTTTCCCGAATCCGTTTGCCTAATTCTTTAAAAAAACTTAGAGCTTTGCTACCGAAGGTGGTAAGAGTAGAGCAGGCGATAGGTATGAATAAGAAAGAGGGGTCTATGGAACTATATTTGATAGTTTTACGAGTTTCTGCTAGAGCGAGGGCATCGACGTTGTGGTTGGATGGTGCATTTGGGTCAATGCATGTGAAGTTCCAGACTAGTAGCTGGCCCCTTGACCAAGGAATCAAGGACATTCTATCAGGTCGTTTTCCGTCGGATCTAAAAATGCCGGTCGGTTCAAGTCTTGATGGAATGCCTGCGGATTTGAGAGCGCGCAATATGATGTCATTGCAATTGGTGTGCCGTGGAAAACGGCCTCGGCAAAAGCGGCAATGTCTGCCCTTGCGATCGACGCTGGTTTCGCAATGTTTGCATTGGTACGGTAAAACAATTTCGCAATTGAGCCGTAATCCAATGGCAAATCTTAGCTCGTCAGCGGTCAGCAACAAGTCGAGGTTGTTGGAGGGTATAGTTTCCAGAAACTCGTAACCCGATCCTTGGTTTAATTGGTGAAAGACTGTGAGATCGTCGTCATGAAGACTCGAATTTAGGTAAGCGACGGAGCCTTCATTTAGTGAAGTATCCCAGTCTCTCTGTAAACAGGAGGAGGGTCGAGGAGTGTTTGGGACAACGGAATTGTCCCAAATGGTCTGGGCTTCAGCTAATAATGGGTCAGGAAAGTGAGAAAGCTGGCTAATGTGTGAGTCAGATGAGAGGCGGGAGGCGATGAATCCACTGATGGAAAGAGTTAGAGGTGAGCGTAAGCCGATGCCCCCGAGCTTGCATGGAAGTGATGCTTGTAGCCATGAATTATGGTTGAAGCGAAGATTAAGGATCTCTTCGGCAAGAGATTTGACGGAAGTTTCAAATGATTTTAGTGAGTCGGGAAATTTAAAGATTGAGGTGGATCGAAGAGCGTAAAGAATTTTAGGAATGTAGTAAAAGTTTTTGAGGAGAAAAAAAGCTTGATGGCGAGAGAGAAATTTAGAGATGTTTTTGAAATGAAGTAAGCTAGATGATGCGTTAGTGAAGAAGTGATTAATGGATTGCAAGCCACCGACAGGTGAGCCGAGATGAGTGAGGGATGATAGCTCGGTTGTAAGGAAGTTATGGGTGAATGGGATGGAACAATGAAGTAGACAGATCTCGGTTTTTTGTTCGTTAAGTGAAAGTCCAATTGCGGTGGAATGTGTATTAATGATGGCGAGGGCCTTGGCGACCTCGTGAGGGGAGCCGCAGAATATTCCGTCGTCGATGTACCAAGTGTGGAGTGGAAGATTGCAGTTGGTAGAAATGTTTTTGACCATTTCGTTGATTCCAATGCAGAAAAGTATCGAGCCTAGAGGATCGCCTTGCTGGATCCCTTCAGATGATGAAAGTAAGTAGTTGTTGAATTGGAGATGAGATGGCTTGGAATAGCAGGAGTGGAA